ACTTACTTCTTTTTTCTTGGCAATTCTATCCAATCCAATTGACTCTGCTATCTTTTTGACGTCTTTTTTAAGTATATCACCAAGTGGAAAAACCGATTTCTGTAATGCTCTTTGTGGTATCTGAGACAGGAAAAGTGTTTGGTCTTTCCACTGATCTAATGGTAACATTAATTTTATACCTAGTTGGAGCAGGAAAATAAGTTCTATTAAATTTACAAAACCTTTGATTAACTTGAATAATTTTACACACAATCATTTTGTGTTCAAACTAAATCCACAAGTTGATAAGAACAATTGTTTATGTGTTCAATAATTTTCTTGTCACTTTTAGTTAGGTTTGAATTTAACCATGAGCTACTGAGAAAAGTGTAAATAAAAAAAGAATTGGGGTGTACATTAGTAAGAGCAACCTGCAAATTTTTTTAAGATGAGAAGCATTGAAATTTCTAATGATTGACATCGATTAGATAACCTCAAATCAATTATCATATTATAGAAGGTCTGAAAGAAAATGTGGAGGGGGTAAAAATTTTCCTGTCCAGGTCAAAACCTGAGGACTTTTTTCTTCTGATTCAACCAAGTCTGGATAGGAAAGAGTCATGTTCTATTACATTTATGAAAGACAACTCAGATATAATTGATGAGACCAGTTTAAAAAGTTTATAGCTTCTTTTTGGTTCTCATCTAATTTTTATATATTCTGTCGTATCGAGGTTGGAAGAGGACTCTTATATGTTTTAAGAACTGGTGTGTACTGAGAAGGTCAGTTCTTGCATATTTCAACTTTTTAGTTTGTTTTTTTTTTGTTCTCCAGCTGGTCAATGAATTGTTTCTTTCAGGCAAACCAGAATACTTACAGTAAAAAATGAAATTGAATATGTGAATCCAAAATATCTTTAATACGAATGATATATATCTTTGTCATGTTTGCTAGCTTAATCAATATGTCAAGGACTTAATATTACCAAATGCTTTTAATAACTTCAATTTGACCATAAAAATATACCTTCACTGGTATCAGGATTTTCTAAGTTTTCAAACACACTTGTTTTGACATAATGTCCTGTTGCTATGGCATCAGCTCCAATGTTATTTATAGCATGATCAAAGAAGTATTTAAACTTTATGTGCTTGTTGCAGAGTATATCTGGATTTGGTGTGTAACCATTCTCATAACCTTTTATCAAAGTACTGAAAAAAACAAGAACATGCAAGCAATAAGATAGTGTTACCAGATATTTTGAGAAATGATCAGATTTCATGTATGGACACCTTAAGAGTTTACTTCCATAATCATAATTATTAGAAATTTTCCACATTGTTTTTGCATTGCAACTGACAAGTGACATTGTCAAATACCTCCAGGTAAGTGCATGAAATGCCTATTTTCCATTATTATGAAAATTGTTCTCAATAACACAAGAATTTTTTTTTTAATTTACATTCAAATTCAATGTTATATATATAACTGTCAAAACATTTTATTGAACTCCTGACCCTATAAACTTAAGAGTAATTATAAATAAAATTTACTCATTCTGACACTGCCCTTAAGGCCTTTGTGAAATCGACTCACAGTGCTAATTATCTAATTGCCATGTTTATAAAATGTATCTTCTTTCTTCTTGTTATCAATAATTTCCAATATAATAAGTAAAACTGTGAGCTACTGCTCACTGATGATACCCCTGCCGAAATATTTCGGTGAAAAGGAAGTTGTTAAGTGATGAATCTAAAAACTCATCACACAGTGTAACGTACTTATATAAACCCTGAAACCAAATTTCAGAAATCCTTGTCAAGTAGTTCTTGAGAAAAATGTGACGAAAGTTTTCAACTTGGCTATCATGTGTAAAATAATACAAGTGTTCGGTAAACAGGAAGTTGTTGAGTGTTAAATCTGAAAATGCATCACACAGTGTAACTTACTTATATAAACCCTGAAACCAAATTTCAGAAATCCTTGTCAAGTAGTTCCTGAGAAAAATGCAACGAAAATATTCATGGGACGGACGGATGGACTGGCGGAAGGACAGGCAGAGGTAAAACAGTATACCCCCCTTTTTTAAAGCGGGGTATAATAAATATATTCTACTGATGTTTACAATATGTTCTTATGTTGTGCTGTTATACCACTCTCCCAGGTGAGGGGAGGGTTGAGCACTCATAAATATGTTTAACACATTTTTTATGTGTCTGTCCCAAAACAGGAGCCTGTTATTCAGCAGTTTTATTATAAATTAAAATCAAAATTGCAAACATGTAGCAGAAAAAAAAACCCTTCACCACCCCCTTCTATCCTATTGTATTCTAATTCTAAATGGGGCCTCGGTGGCCAAGTGGTCTAAGTAGTTGAACTACTGTATCACTAGCCAGTCAACACTGAGGTTGTGAGTTCAATTCCCGCACGGGGCATGTTCACTTTACTGACATCTTAATTGACTAGGATTGTTAGTTTTCCTACCGAAGGTTGGTGGTTCTCTCTGGGCACTCCAGCTTCCTCCACCAATAAAAACTGACCGCAACGAAATAGCATAATAGTGTTGAAGGTGGCGTTAAACACCAATCAATCAATCATTCTAATTCTAAATGACATTTTTTTTTCTAAAATACCTAAAAACTTCATTCCAATACTCTTTAACAAAATTGACATCATGTAATGGGATCTTCAGACGGTCACAGACATACTGTGCATCTTCTCTGTCAGCATCAGACGAACACTTTCCTTTTTCATCAGCAATGTCCCAGTTCTTCATAAATAATCCAACAACCTCATGTCCTGAAATATAATAAAATAAATGATAATCAAATTACTATGAAAGAAAAAATGAATATCTGTCTAACTGAACAAATTGTATACCCGCTACACCTCCACTCAAAGAGTACATGGTACAATGCAATGCACTTGTCTGTCTCTACCTTGTCTTGTCCTGTCTTGTCTGGTCCATCCAAAGTTTTGGCTTCTTATTACTCAGCTCATGTATTTAAAAAAAAGATTTGATATGTGGTCATGTACTTTATTATGTTGAGTAACAGTTATCAAACAGGGAAAGTGATTTTCAGATATGGTAACGCAGTCACTTTCTTTCAAAACATAGCTTTGAATTCTCATTATACCTACTATTATAAATCATTTAAAATAAATGGGGAATGTGTCCATGGGTCACAGATGATGCCCCCGTTTCCATATCATATAAAGTTATAAAGGGACACAACTGAAGAACGATATAAGTGACACTACCCAAATTTGAACTTGATGTGAGTTTTGTGGTTATAAGCATTGTGTATAAGTTTCATAACATTTGGTTGAGGCTAACTTAAGTTAGAGAACGGAAACGAAAAATTCAGCAATTTTTCCATTTGTAAAGGGACATAACTCTAGAATTGTAAAAGTTACACCACCAAAATTCAAACTTGAGCTGTATTTTGTGGTTATAAGCATTGTGTATAAGTTTCATAACATTTAATTGAGGCTAACTTAAGTAAGAGAACGGAAACGAAAAATTTAGCAATTTTTCCCTTTGTAAAGGGGCATAACTCTAGAACGATTGAAGCGACGCCACCAAAAGTCAAACTTGATCTGTGTTTTGTGGGAATAAGCATGGTGTATAAGTTTCATAACATTTGGTTGAGGCAAACTAAAATTAGATAACTGAAAAGAAAAATTCAGCAATTTTTCCATTTGTAAAGAGGCATTACTCTAGAACGGTTAAAGTGATGACACCAAAATTCAAACTTGATCTGTATTTTGGGGTAATAAGCATTTTGTATGAGTTTCATAACATTTGGTTGAGGCAAACTAAAGTTAGAGAACAAAAACAAACTTTGGGACGTACGTACAGACGGACAAGGATAAAATTTAATGCCCCCTCCGCTATGGCGGAGGCATAAAAACTTTGTCTTATCTTTCTCAGTTTCTGTATTATAAAAAAAATAATTATTTGATATTTCATCAGAAACTTTATTATATCAATTTGTTTCACATGCAACTCCTTGTAATGGCTTAAAATTCAACATGATCGACTCCCTAATATATACCATGTCTTCAAATTTTAGACATCAATGACTGAGACAGCTAGTTAAAAACACACATTTACTTTGTTTTAAGAGAAGAACAAGAATAAAAAGAGAAAGAAGTAATAACAAGTGGGCAATAAAAAACCATGAGTCGAAAAAAACAGATAACACCTATATATATAGCTAGCTTGCATGGCCAAAAAAAGAAAATGATGAAAAGACACATGTACACAAGCCCACAAAACATTACACTGAAACCCTAGAATTGAACAACATAAACACCAAAAAATAAAGGAGAGGCGGGAATCTCAGGTGCTCCAGAAGGTTAGGCAGTTCTTGCTACATTAGTGTCATAAAATAATAATCAAATAAAGCAACATAAATACAAGTATATTGGTGAGTCTTTTTACTGAAATAAACTCAAAATATGATATTTTAGTGATAATTAGATTATTCATATTATTTATTTCAACTTAATAACTCAACAAGATGATATTTTCTTAAGAATTTTTTTTTTTAAGAACAGAAACCAATTTTTGGATGAACGTATGGACAAGGGTAAACCTTAATGCCCTAAAATATGTTCAGCTTTTACTTCCTTGTAAACAGCTGGTTAACAGGAGTGGGCCGAGTTTGTAGAAAATGGAGAGTTTTGGTATAATGTTGGGTCGAATTGGTCTGTGGCGAGTTGACATGGATTCTTTAAAACTGGACAAGCTCAAGTATGATGACACACCTCTTTTTTTAAGCATATATGCTGCTACTGAACTATCAACTCCTCCTGACATTCCACACACAATTTTTTTTAACCCTGTTCTCATCTTTTACTTATTTTTGGCACGTTTAGTGATTAACATGTGTTTAACCTCACAGTCACATGGAAAGGTGTTTGACGTTTGTTCGAAAATGAAAATGAAACGAACAATTTCATTGGATACCTTATTTTCCAGCCTTGAAAATAGCCAGTCAAAATTGTTGTTTCAATTTGCTGACCTCTTGAACCTGGAAAAGTAAATATGGACGTCCACGAAAACAACAGACCAAAACAAATGTGTTTGGTGTGATTGTATGGTCAAAGTTTAATGTTATTGACTATGACTTCGTCATCAAATGAAACAGTTTCAAAAGAAGACATTCACGCATTGTTAGAACATAGTGTCAAAAACACGCATAAAGTGAAAGATGGAGACATCAAGGTCTGAATCAGGATGTTTATATTGTCTATTATTGATATACAGGAAATAAAAAAAATCATTTCGATTTTAAGCAGGGATTTATATATATAAAGCTTAGAAGGGTTCTTCATGGAATTACTGTTGTTCTTTGTGGAGTGACAGTCGCTGATTATATTATACTTAACTGCTTAAAAGCCCAAACAAATAGACGTATTTACACTTGTATCCTATGCAAATTTGACCGCTTCTTAAAATCACACAAGTTCCCGTAAAATTTGACATCACTATTTAAAAAAATTTGACGTTATAATTTAAAAGTGGTTGTTGCTTGACGTCAGAAGGTTATTCGGAGCAGATCTAAGGTCATTAGGAGACAAAATTCAGCTAAATACCAAAAGTGTAAATACGTTTATACAGATCCTGTGCCCATTTTTTGCCCCCTGGCCCTTCGCAATGCGTTGACGGGGGACTTAAAAATACTGGGTATCCATCTGTCCATCCGGTCTTATTAGCGCACTCACATGTACAATTCTTGGCAGAATTTTATAAAACTTAAATCATAGGTTGATATCAGCAATGTCTTGGACGAGTTTGAAAGTCAGTGCCAATGAATTATTTAAAAAAGAGTCTTGCCCCTTGGAAACATTTATTATATGGAAAATTGCATTGTTAGCGCTTTCATGTGTACAATTCTTGCCAGATTTTTATGAAACTTATATCATAGGTTTCTATCACTAATGTCTCGGACAAGTTCGAAAATCAGTGCTGATCAATTATTTTTAAAAGAGTTATGCCCCTTTAAACATCATTTATATGGAAAGTTGCATCTTTAGCGCTCTCATTTGTACAGTGCTTGCCAGAATTTGATAAAACTTATATCAAAAGGTTTATATTAGCAATGTTTCAGTTGTGAGTGCTCTCATGTATACAGTTCTTGCTAGATTTTCATGAAATTGATATTATAGGTTTTTATCAGCAATTTCTTGGATGAGTTCAAAAATCTGTGCAGATCATTTTTTTTTAAAAAGAGTTAAGCCCTTTGGAAATATTAATTATATCGAAAATTGCATCATTAGCACTCTCATGTGTACAATTCTTGTCAGAATTTTATGAATTTTAAATCATAGGTTTATATATATATCAGCAATGCTTTTGACAATATTGAAAATAAGTGCTGATCAAATAAATTAAAAGAGTTATGCCCCTTGGAAATATTAATTATATCGGAAATCACATTGAATTTGCTCTGAAGCATTCATTTCTCTTAGATATTTATGAACAATTTTAAAGAAGAAAAAAAAAGTATTTTATAGTAAATGCCCTTGTGCCTTGGATAGATAAAATATGTGCAACGAGGGGGACATTGGAACTCTGTTCTTTTATTTGCTTGCAAGGATTTTACAACTCTCTGTTCTACTTTATACCTAGCGATGTTTTTCAGTGCAGGATACTTCTGGTTCTTCTATATCAGACTCTAATTCTTCCTCCATTGGTTCGAAGAATGGAAGTTGACGTCTCTCCCTTCTAATGTGATGTCTGCAATTGTAAAAAATTATATAATGTCTTGGTCTTCCCAGTCATATGCAACTATTCCAGTCATAATTACGTTCGATAACTCTGCATGTTACTGGTTTAATTAGGATTATGTAAAATTTACTAGTTACCCGATGAATGATTTAAAGAAAATTGAAAAATATAGTTATTTCACCTCGGTTAATATCCATTCGAGGTCTTCTTTTATAAATATAAAATAATATCTTAATGAATTTCATTGAGAATCTGACAACACTAATCAACATAGGTATTGTCAAAACATACATCTACATAGGTATTGTCAAAACTTACATCGTGATTAGGTGCCATGTTTGTTTTCTTTGATTACGTTGATGTTATGACTTAATATCTCCTTAGTCTAGCTATGTCCTTGGCTATCATTATAGTGACAATGACGTGTCATATTTAATTGCAATATAAACAGTGAAATTAAATTGAATTATTTGCATGGACAAAATAAGTGTCGAACATCGTCTACGTTTGAAAATTATTTGGTCGCCATTTTTTTTAATTTTTATAAAAAAAACAACAGCTGTATCAGCTTTATCAAAAGGAACCAATGTTTGATTCTATGCAGCTTTAAGGTAAGACAATGACTGAAAACGCGAGCATCCAACAGTTATTTGATTTTCATTGTAACAATCTTACAAAATATATTTTTACCAAGTCGGCCCACGCTGTCAATGTGGTCGCCATCTTGAAAAAAATACCCGATTTTCTGAAAATAGCTAATTTTCAAATCAATTTGGAAGGGACGTAATAAAAAATTAAACTATTGCATGTACGATATTTCAAATATTTATGAATACAGTACATATTTCCACAATTTTTCCATCTGTTTTGTTTAAATCGCAATTTTAGGTTTAACACGACTGAAAATCCAATATTTATCGGAGTTGGGTGATTTAACAGTGTGAATTATCGAGGCAACAAGATCAATTTTCAAAAGCATTTGGAAGGGAGAAGACCAAAATTTAAACTTTTCCAAAAGGCATAAATATATTTCTAAATATATGAGGAATTACTATATATTTCCACACTTTTTTTATCATGAACTGCATTTCTATACATTTTACTTGGGCATGATACGGGTGATGTGTGACGTCGCCAATGTCACGTGATGACTGCTATAGTTGGATATGATTTGTTTAATCTGTTCTTAAAGGTGTTAAAAGTTGGGGTCATTACAATTTTGTCCAATATTTGACCACTCTCAGAGCAGGCCTGGGGTAATGGTAATTTGTAATTGTAATGCATTGTAATTATATTACATTTTTTTGATGTAATGCAAAGTAATTTGTAATGCACATTTTCTGCATTACAATTACATGTAATGTAATGATAACTTTAGTTAAAAATCAATGTAATGCCTCCATTACTGTACATTACTTTTCATTACAAATTGGTAAAATACATAAAATTGAAGAATATAGTAAAATAAAAATATTAACAAAAACAAAAGAAAATATTGAATAACATTATTATCACAGTTAATTACTGTATTAAATCATTATAGATAGTTTGCCCTTAAAAAATCTTCTAAAAATAATTATTAAACAAAACTATATAGATGAATGGACAAAATATGAAGATGAAATTTTTTATTAATTCTATACCCACCTTACATGTATTTCAATGAAAGATTGAATATTTCAATCAACATTTTTACACCAAACTGTGGTTGTTATTTTACCTAATTAATATCAAAATGTTTTTATTGCAATCAAATCTTCTCAACTTATGTTTGTCCTCACAGAGCCCTTAGGCATTTAACAAGATAATCCTTTAATTGCACATTTAATATATCCCTTTTAAACCCCTAATGATGTCTTAATGATTAAGTGATCAATGTTAGAAACAAAATTATATGATTATTTAGCACATACTTACAACTTCTCGTCCAATCAAATTGCTTATATTTGCCTTCTAATTTTCATAGTACATACTTTTCCTGTGTACTAAGTAACTACGCATGAATGACCACAAGGGTAAGATTTCATTGTATCGTAATCAAGATATTTAAAACAAAAATTGCCACTGGCTATTTTGAAATAAAATGCTGTGTTCCAAATTAAATTAAATAGTTTGTAATTAGTTTTCACGTTGATTTTTAAATATTCTGCTATTAAAATCTTTGGATCTAAAAATTGTTTTTGACAATTGCAAATTTTATTATTTAAATAAAGGGTAATACATATGGTTCTTTATACCTTGATTAGAGTACAACGATATCTTAAAATTATGATAATGTATCATCCATGCAATTACTTTGTACACAGAAAAGTGTGTACTATGAAACCTTGTGCAGGAAAATTAAAGCAACTTGGTGATAATTTTTTAAACTTTCTTAAAGAAGGTGATCTATTTCATCATGAATTAATTGATTTATTGATTATTGGTTGCTTAATGTCCAGTTGCAAATATTTCATGCATGTTCAGGACGATGTCATGAATTGAAAAACTGTGATTATGTCTGAAGATAATGTGCCACCTATATATACATATAAACATATTCTGATAAATCTTTTACATGTATAGTAAAACACCGCTTTATATCAGTATACATACTTACACCAGTCGCTACCATCTTTTCATTCTGGAGTGAAGGGCCTTTTGAAATCACATATTTTACAATAATACTAGTGAGTAGATTTACAAAACTTCGTTAATGAGCTCCTTTTTACAAACACCTGTGATACAAGTAGTCAGCCAAAATAAACTATCAATAGACCAATTAAAAGATTACTCGAGTTGTAAATATGTGCTAAATTGGATAGTCTATGAAAAGGTATATACTATGAAATTAAGAGCTCGGGGCAAGCCCCTCGCTCTAAATTTCATAGTATATACCTTTCCATAGACTAACCTAGACTTATTTTTCAAGTATTTGAAGTCTATGTCAATAACACTGTATATATATGTACATATACCCCGGTCATATTTATCAATTTCTTATAAAAATCTGTTTTTTAAATGTTTTTATATTGAAAAAGTAATGTGTAATGTAATGCATTACACAGGCAAAGTAATTGTAATGTAATGCATTACATGTGAGAAAAAATGTAATTGTAATTGTAATGGAAGAATCACAAATTAATTGTAATGTAATGGCCCCAGGCCTGTCTCAGAGCAAACAAATTCTTCCTTAACGTTAACGATGTGACTGGCTCTCTGAGGATAAAGATTTAGTGAGTAACCTCTGATGCTCGATCTGGCTAATAGACATATCGTGTCAGATCCTCTGGGTTTATCATATGAATGATAAACACCTTCAAAAAATTGTAGGCAGGGATTTCATTAATCACAAAAGAGATTAGACAAAAATTTATCTGAATAGACGTATTAGGTCTTGATTAGGGATTCTGAGGGCGGCCAAATCAGAAAATCACTCCATATTGGGGTTTCTTTGGCTGATGTTATAATTACCAGAACAGATAGAAGAACAGAGTTTTGTCAGATACTTGTTAGGAAAACAGTTGACACATGATTTTAATCAGATTGGTCCCCAAAAAATGATGAATGTTTCGATTAATTCTAAATGTAGTTCAAGTAATTATGGGGGCCTCGGTGGCCTAGTGGTCTAAGTAGTAACTACTGTAATCACTAGCCAGTCAACACTGAGGTTGTGAGTTCGAACCCCGCTCGTGCAGGTGCACTCGAATCCAATCTTAATTGATTGTCAGTTTTCCTATCGAAGGTCGGTGGTTTTCTCAGGGCACTCCGGCTTCCTCCACCAATAAAAACTGGCCGCCACGAAATAGCCCAAAAGCGGTGCTTAAAAGTGGCGTTAAAACACCAAAAAATCAAAATCAAATCAAATCAAGTAATTATGACATCTCAGAAGGATATTTTTTATTTCATTCCAGGAAGGCGTTTAGCAAAATTATTTTAAAGCTGCATGTACATGACATTATAATCGATTTTGAACTAAGAAGGCTTCTTACAAAAAATATAAAAGCCTTGCCATAAAACTTATCAAAGAAATAGTGTTTTGTGTCGTTAGGTTAGACTATGAATTCGATTTTCCACTGACTGATTTGGTCAAATTTTTAATAATATTGACCAATTTCTAAAACCAAGTAACAAAGTTGTCACTAAATTGTAAATTGCAAAATGTCCATAATGTATGCAGGAATTTCTGTATTGTAGTGTAAATTGGGACAAGACTTGGAGAAAACAAGGCTTCTCCTGATTTTTTAAAAATTTTGGATAATAAATTGTTCTTTATCATGTTTATTAAGTTTTGATTTTTTATCATAAAATCAAGATACATATGTTCATGATGTTTTTTATTCACACATTTACATTCTATGTATCTTAAGATTATTACAAAATGTTTCAAATTTATGGATTTATTTTAATGGATAAAATTACTTTATACTTTGTACATGCTATAAGCTACATGTAGCTCCAGCATAAAAAAAAATTCTGTGGTGATCCCTGTTGATTATGCATGAACTATTTTTCCCTGACCATTAATTAAAAAAAAATCAATGGTCGTTGGATATGGTTGAAATTTATGTAACTTAGCTTTGGATGGTAATTGTTCATCCATCGATTATTTCTCCAAATTACCTCAAGGAGTCAATCACTAATTAAACAGTTTTGTCTTTTTGCAGGGAGATTTCATCATGGAAAAGTGTCTGTTGTTGTTTTCTAAAGATTACAAATATTCTGTAAGTATTTTATAAACTCAATGATTAGACAAATTACATATAAATTGTCATTAAGATGGATGTTTTCATATTCAAGTCCGATTTTGTTTTTAAACTAGTTTGTAGGATATAACTATGGTAATATAAGTGTTTGATTTGTCCCAACTTCTCATAAAACAGAAAGTCGGTCATTACACTTGCTATTTCCTAACAACCTTTCTGTAGCAATTGGCTGAATTTCATCAGCTGGTCAGTTTGAAGAAATGAATTCAAACTGCAACGCAACTAGAAACTTTTCTTTAACCAATTGGTATTGTGAAAAAGTTAAGACTGATAAAAATAACTCCAGAACCTTTTCCCTCTTGAAAAAATTTTAAACTGCTTTTAAAACTTAAAAAATTTTCATGTATGCTTACACATACATAAAACGACAGCACACATGTTCAATGTACATGTATATATATGTGAATAAAAGGACACTCGTATTGGTTACGGTATTGAACCTCAATGAGGCAGCAACAAATAAAGGTTTTAAAATGGTTCACCATACAACTTTTAACAATGGACAAGTGTCATATCCACTTGCATACATCTTAGTTTCTCTATTTTTCTTTTAGTAATGAAACTTCTGTTCGAAGTTGTAAGTTCTCCTGCTCCAAATAAACTACAAGTTTTGCATGAATTTAATAAAGATGATTGAAGACTCAGGGCTTGACATCAACATCAAGCAGCTAAAACCAAAATATGACAAATATTTTACAGAGACAGTGACGACCTCTAATGTATATGATTTTTAGTTCTGCATTATCTATGTTTCAGGTGATAACTAATTTTAGCGGAGAACTGTGCGGACATTATCCTTCCAAAATCATATTATTAGAATACCAGTTAACTGAAGGTGACCAGAAAAAAGATAATTTTCATGGGTAAGACCATTAAATACACAGACAACTTTAACAGAATAAAAAAAACCAATGAAACATTATATTCCTAAATTGTATCACATTGATATGAAAATAACACTTTATTAGATGCATGCGTCCTATACACATGTCTGGATTTACCATTATATTTTAATGTTACAGTTTTAAAAATATAGTATGTTGTTGCTTATTTCAGTTCTAAAAATTAAGAATTACATGGGGTCACCATGCTTGATTAATATATCCCGCTGCAATTGCAGCTGGGGTATATGGATTTATTCTTATCCCTTGATCTGGAAGAAATTGGTTGACCTTTGTGGAAGGGCTGCTACGAATGATTCCGACAACAAAGATAAACTTATCATTAACCATTTTGTAGATAATTAAGTGCAGTTTTATGACTTACAAAATGTAACATGTTTTTAGTAAGATAGACAACTGTGGAATCAAAATTTAGTGAAAGTTCTCAACTAAGTGTCATTTCTGACTTATGCAAGATTGATACCTTTTCTCGTTTGAATTGTTTCACATTTGTCATTTTTTATAGCTGATTATGCAATATGGGTTTTATTCATTGTTGAAGGCCATAAGGTGACCTATAGTTGTTAATTTCTGTGTCATTTGGTCTCTTGCGGAGAGTTGTCTCATTGGCAATCAGAACCACATCTTTTTATTCTTGTATCCAAGGGTTATCATACAATCTTCAACAATTCCTTATACTCATAATAGTGTTGAAAACTGATAATAGATAAAAACTAATTGTCAGAAAGTTGCACATTTTTTTTTACCCTTAAAATCAAGATTTTAAAAAATATTCTGCTATTTGAATTTTTCAGAGTTGAGAGTGTATATGACACAACTCAGATGAGAGAATTAATTAAACAAGCAAGATATGCCAGATGTAGATCTAGATTTGCTGTGCCTGTTATTATGTATGAGGGAAAGGTATGTCATAGATGTAGATCTACATTTGATGTGCCTGTTATTATGTATGAAGGAAAGGTATGTCATAGATGTAGATCTAGATTTGCCGTGCCTGTTATTATGTATGAAGGAAAGGTATGTCATAGATGTAGATCTAGATTTGCTGTGCCTGTTATTATGTATGAAGGAAAGGTATGTCATAGATGTAGATCTAGATTTGCTGTGCCTGTTATTATGTTTGAGGGAAAGGTATGTCATAGATGTAGATCTAGATTTACTGTGCCTGTTATTATGTATGAAGGAAAGGTATGTCATAGATGTAGATCTAGATTTGCTGTGCCTGTTATTATGTATGAGGGAAAGGTATGTCATAGATGTAGATCTAGATTTGCTGTGCCTGTTATTATGTATGAAGGAAAGGTATGTCATATATGTAGATCTAGATTTGCTGTGCCTGTTATTATGTATGAAGGAAAGGTATGTCATAGATGTAGATCTAGATTTGCTGTGCCTGTTATTATGTATGAAGGAAAGGTATGTCATAGATGTAGATCTAGATTTGCTGTGCCTGTTATTATGTATGAAGGAAAGGTATGTCATAGATGTAGATCTAGATTTGCCGTGCCTGTTATTATGTATGAAGGAAAGGTATGTCATAGATGTAGATCTAGATTTGCTGTGCCTGTTATTATGTATGAAGGAAAGGTATGTCATAGATGTAGATCTAGATTTGCTGTGCCTGTTATTATGTTTGAGGGAAAGGTATGTCATAGATGTAGATCTAGATTTACTGTGCCTGTTATTATGTATGAAGGAAAGGTATGTCATAGATGTAGATCTAGATTTGCTGTGCCTGTTATTATGTATGAGGGAAAGGTATGTCATAGATGTAGATCTAGATTTGCTGTGCCTGTTATTATGTATGAAGGAAAGGTATGTCATATATGTAGATCTAGATTTGCTGTGCCTGTTATTATGTATGAAGGAAAGGTATGTCATAGATGTAGATCTAGATTTGCTGTGCCTGTTATTATGTATGAAGGAAAGGTATGTCATAAGAAATTTAAAATAGATGTCCAAATACATTTGTTCTTACATTATTTCACTTTATTTACAAAGTAGGTCAGATATTAGTCACTTGAAATGCATTAATAAAACATATAGCCATTACAAATAGTTCATAATGTATATACTTCAAAATTGAAAATGGTTTACTATTTAATTCATTGTAGTTTGCTTCAGAAGGGTAACCTATTTTCATAAAATATGAAGCCTCATGTAAGTACAGGCTAAAAACAACAAAGCACAGAGATTTCATTCATATTGTCTAATTGTTTTCTGTTTTATCAAAGATTGCTTTAGATGATGATTGGTAATATCCATTTCATCCTTTGATAGCAGTAAATCAAATCCAATGGCAAGGCACCATATCAAGATGTAAAATATGCAGGCAATACAAAATTTTCATCTTACCTTGCATCAATTCCAAGCCCCCTCTTATCCAAGCATTACAAGATAGCACTTGATACAAAGTACTTTAGCTATCTAATAAAATAATTATTTATGTATTTCAGCATGTATGTAGATCTGCTACATTGGCTAGTGGTGCAGAGATGTATGGTAGATCCGGTTTAGATTTCCTCTTCTCAGGTACTCGTATGTTACAGATATCACCTGAAGCTCATGATTTGAGGAAGACATTTTTATACGACCGCAAAAAAATTTTGTGGTCGTATATTGGTATGACGTTGGCGTCGTCGTCCGAAGACACATTGGTTTTCGCACTCTAACTTTAGTTTAAGTGAATGGATCTTTTTGAAATTTGACCATAAGGTTAAATACCACAAAAGGAAGGTTGGGATTGATTTTGGGGGTTATGGTACCAACAGTTAAGGAATTAGGGGCCAAAAAGGGGCCAAAAATAAGCATTTTCTAGTTTCCAGACAATTACTGTGGAACGGTGTATGGATCTCTCTGAAATTATACTACAAGTTTCCATACCACAAAGGGATGGTTAGGATTTGCTTTGGGGGGTTATGGCTCAAACCGTTTAGGAATTAGGGGCAAAAAAGGGGGAAAAACAAGGTTGTCCTGGTTAATGGACAAATACTTTAGTACAAAACATAATTTAAAGCAGTGTAAGGGAGATAAATCAAATACATCATTGAAATTATCTCCCTTACACTGCTTTTAAATTATGTATAAAGTAATGGTTAATGAACAATAAAGATAATTTAAAACAGTGTAAGGGAGGTAATCCAAATACAACGTTTTGATTACTTCCCTTACACTGCTTTTAAATTATGTTTAAAGAAATACATATTTATAAAGGAAGACCAGTAAAAATATCTGCAAATGTTGCATCTTTTTTTTTTATAAAAAAATCCATATGAAAGATTTGACACTATATTTTTAATTCTATTATAAAATAGATTAAGTTAGCACTATGGTAAATTTAAATGGGTAATTATGGTTGCCAACTCCATTGGAAATTTGAATTGAGATTATGACCATATCTTGAGGGAAAGAATTTTTTTGGGGAAAAAAGGGGGGGGGGGATAAAAAGAAATTGTGGGGGGTCAATTTTTTCTCATTTCAGATTTCAGAAATTAAAAAGAATTATTCTTCAAATATTATTTTTTTTTCAAATTTCAAATATTGAAAAAATTCAAGAAGTAATCTTTAATTGCACAGTATGGCGCATTAGATTTGTAAAATCTTTGATCACATTTATTTATTTGTTATGCCGAATCTAACAGTGTATTTAGATTTTTAATTTTGGGTCCAGTTTTCAAATTGGTCTACATTAAGGTCCAAAGGGTCCAAAATTAAACTTTGTTTGATTTTAGCAAAAATTGAATACATGAGGTTCTTTGATATGCTGAATCTAAACATGTATTTAGATTTTTGATTTTTGGCCCAGTTTTCAAGTTGGTCCAAATTGGGGTCCAAAATTAAACTTTGTTTGATTTCAACAAAAATTGAATATATGGGGTTCTTTGATATGCTGAATCTAAACATGTATTTAGATTTTTTATTTGTGGACCCCGTTATCAAATTGGTTCATATTGAGGTCAAAAGGGTCCAAAATTAAACTTTGTTTGATTTCATCTAAAATTGAATTATTGGGGTTCTTTGATATTCCAAATCTAACCGTGTATTTAGATTTTTAATTTTGGGTCCTGTTTTTTAAATTGGTCTACATTAAGGTCCAAAGGGTCCAAAATTAAACTTAGTTTGATTTTAACAAAAATTGAATTCTTGGGGTTCTTTGATATGCTGAATCTAAACATGTGTTTAGATTCTTGATTATGGGCCCAGTTTTCAAGTTGGTCCAAGATAGGGTCCAGTATTTAAACTTTGTTTGATTTCAACAAAAATTGAATATATGGGGTTCTTTGATATGCTGAATCTAAACATGTATTTAGATTTTTGATTATGGGCCCAGTTTTCAAGTTGGTCCAAATTGGGGTCCAAAATTAAACTTTGTTTGATAGTAACAAAAATTGAATATATGAGGTTCTTTGATATGCTGAATCTAACCATGTATTTAGATTTTTTATTTGTGGGCCCCGCTATCAAATTGGTTCATATTGAGGTCAAAAGGGTCTAAAATAAAACTTTGTTTGATTTCATCAAAAATTGAATTATTGGGGTTCTTTGATATGCCAAATCTAACCGTGTTTTTAGATTTTTAATTTGGGTCCCATTTTTTAAAATTGGTCTTCATTGAGGTCCAAAGGGTCCAAAATTAAACTTAGTTTGATTTTAACAAAAATTGAATTCTTGGGGTTCTTTGATATGCTTAATCTAAACATGTGTTTAGATTTTTGATTATGGGCCCAGTTTTCAAGTTGGTCCAAGATAGGGTCCAGTATTTAAACTTTGTTTGATTTCAACAAAAATTGAATATATGGGGTTCTTTGATATGCTGAATCTAAACATGTATTTAGATTTTTGATTATGGGCCCAGTTTTCAAGTTGGTCCAAATTGGGGTCCAAAATTAAACTTTGTTTGATTTCAACAAAAATTGAATATATGAGGTTCTTTGATATGCTGAATCTAACCATGTATTTAGATTTTTTATTTGTGGGCCTCGCTATCAAATTGGTTCATATTGAGGTCAAAAGGGTCTAAAATTAAACTTTGTTTGATTTCATCAAAAATTGAATTATTGGGGTTCTTTGATATGCCAAATCTAACCGTGTTTTTAGATTTTTAATTTGGGTCCCATTTTTTAAAATTGGTCTTCATTGAGGTCCAAAGGGTCCAAAATTAAACTTAGTTTGATTTTAACAAAAATTGAATTCTTAGGGTTCTTTGATATGCTAAATCTAAACATGTGATTAGATTTTTGATTATGGGCCCAGTTTTCAAGTTTGTCCAAGTTGGGGTCCAAAATTAAACTTTTTTTTATTTCAACAAAAATTGAATATATGGGGTTCTTTGATATGCTGAATCTAACCATGAATTTAGATTTTTTTTTTGTGGGCCCCGCTATCAAATTGGTTCATATTGAGGTCAAAAGGGTCTAAAATTAAACTTTGTTTGATTTCATCAAAAATTGAATTATTGGGGTTCTTTGATATTCCAAATCTAACTGTGTATTTAGATTTTTAATTTTAAGTCCCGTTTTTTAAATTGGTCTACATTAAGGTCCAAAGGGTCCAAAATTAAACTTAGTTTGATTTTAGCAAAAATTGAATTATTGGGGTTCTTTGATATGCTGAATCTAAACATGTGTTTAGATTTTTGATTATGGGCCCAGTTTTCAAGTTTGTCCAAGTTGGGGTCCAAAATTAAACTTTGTTTGATTTCAACAAAAATTGAAAATATGGGGTTCTTTGATATGCTGAATCTAACCATGTATTTTGATTTTGGACATTGGACCATAATAGGTAAATTAAAAAAATTCAAGTTCTTAGACCACATTCTTTCTGTGTCAGAAACCTATGCTGTGTCAAATATTTAATAACAATCCAAATTCAGAGCTGTATCAAGCTTGAATGTTGTGTCCATACTTGCCCCAACTGTTCAGGGTTCGACCTCTGCGGTCGTATCAAGCTGCGCCCCAGCGAAGCATTTTATTAAGAATGCATCAACATGAATAGTTCCATGAGTATATTACCTTTAGTAAAAAAAGAAAATAGCACTATGGTTATTCTTATATGAATTAAGAAGATGTGTGGTATATGTTAAAGAGACAGCAACTCAAAAACACAATCAATCCCATAAAAAAACCTAAAGGCCAACAAATAGTCTTTAACAATAGACTCGTGTCTGTACGTTATATCAAGCTATAAATACCACAAGTATAAAAAAGTTTGAATTAAATTTAACAAAGACTTATCAAATATCTGCCATCAACACCAAATTCTCTAAAAGACAAAAACATTAAGTTAGAAAACAACCACTGTTGAGGTTCTCTTGTATTAGTCCTAACAGTATGATAATTTCAGGTGGGCACAATATTTATCATCCAGAAAAATTTAAGATTTATGAAAAATTCTTATTTAGCAACATTCTATTGCTTTTAAGCAAGAAAAGTGTAATTATGTTTATTTTTTTAAAGGGAATTTTACACAGAATTAAATGGCTTGTAAAAGTTTTCATTTGTCATGCTTTGTGATACTTTCAGCATATAAAATTAAACTCTTAGGATTATAAATATTGTAGGTCCTGAGGCAAGCTTAGGGCCCATGTCTAGTCCAGAGGAGGAAGAACCAGAGCTGCAGATGTTTGACAGACTACGTGGACAAGATAAGAAGTTATTAAAAAATCTCTCTGTAAAATACATCTGTGATTTAATGGTAGAAAAGAAAAAAGTCAAATTTGGAATGAAGTAAGAGTTCATGATTAATTTATTTGGTCACTGTAAAACAAAATGATGAGAGCACATGAATTACAGTGAAAACACCTCAACCTAGCCCTTATTTTCTTGCAAATAGTCCAGTTTAAATTTTACAAGGAGCTGGGGTTTTTTTTTATTGAAAATAGACTTAATCAGGCAGAAATTATGTAAATATATTTTGAAGCTACCTCAAGCTATTTATGTGACAATATTTTGTAAGTCTTGAGATCTGTAGTAAGAATATACTTCTATTAAGCAATTTAGTGTATATTTTTACAGATTGTAAATATGAATAGAACTAGAACACGCCAGCAACATCGCGGGTCCATGACTGAATTAAACTACCTACGCATTATTTTCAGCCTGGAATTTTAGTATTTGTATTGTCATTTGATAAAGTCATGCTGATTATAAGGTGCACAGTTTTCTCTGCTTCCAAATCTTTCTATTTGAATCGGTCCTGGTTTTCTTACTACAACTGGAAAATACTTGTATTTTTTTGGTCAATGATTAAATTTAGTGGTGTCAATCCCTGTATAATGACGATGTCCTATATTAGTTATATATAAAGTTGAATTCTTTGATTCGTCATTTTTTATACACCCGTTTACGGGACGTATTATGGTATACTGTTGACCGTCCGTCTGTCCCTCCGTTGTCAACATGTCTGACATTAATTCAAAAACTCTTTCTCCAATATGCATGATACTTTGGTGAATTGTTTATATCTATTGACGTGAGCTCCCTTTCGTTTTTTATAAATTTCAGATTTACCATTTCTGAGTTTTGGGGTTTTATTCATTAAAAAAGGGGGGATTTTCCAGTTTTCGGACGATAGCTCAAAAACAATTTCACCAATTTGCAAGAAACTTTGGTGAATTGTTTATTTCTATCGACATGAGCTCCCTTTTGATTTTTATAAAAATTTCAGACCATATGTTTCCGATTAAAGGGGGATTTTCCAGTTTTCGGACAATAATTCAAAAATGCTTTCAGCATTTTTTATGAAACTTTTGTAAATTGTTTATATCTATTTTTGTAAGCTCCCTTTTGATTTTTATAAATTTTCAATTTCACATTTCCGAGTTATAAGATTTTATTTGTTTATAGTCTGACATCAGATTTACTAAGTATTGCGCAACAGCACAGTGTATTGCACAACAGCAAGAAATCTTTCATATAACCAATTTCAAGTTCTTTGACTACATTTATTCAGAAACCTATAATATATCAAATATTATATTACAATTCAAATTCAGACCTGTATCAAGCTTGAATATTGTGTCCATTTTTGCCCCAACTGTTCAGGGTTGGACCTCTGCGGGCGTATCCAGCTTCGCTCAGCGAAGCAGTTTATTACGTCATGCCGGCTAACAAATTGGACCTCATTATTTTAGTAGTATGGATATAAATCAGTTATAACAAAACAGCAAGTTTGTATTTGCTATGTGACCCCCATCCAATATTTCATTGTAATATGTATTGGTACCTGTGAAAAGAGATTAAAATGTCTACCATAGTAAATAATTAAAAATTTGAAGGAATTGCATTGAGTTAACCTATCATGACTATTGTTGGGATACTATATGTTCTTATTATCAACAATTATTATTATTAACAATTATCAATGAATAAATTATTCCAAAAAATTATATGGTCCTTCTCTGGCTGCAAAGTGTACATTTCTTATATGTGATATAAATCAAGATAATGTACTTTCAGCGTTACTTCATCAGAAAAAGTGGACAAAGAGAACAGATATGCAGATTTCCATATTTTAACCACACCATATCCAGGTATCTGATAGCTGAATTCACTCATACCAATTTGATAAATAAATTTCATAATGCTTCTGCTGTTAGTCTCCTTTTGCATTATTGTGTTTGTTACTTATCATGAATACAGTAGTTATGTCAGTATCATAATGCTAGTCGCCTCTCTGTGCTGAGGTAAAATGCCATTTGTTCCTGTCTCCTGTTGTATTTAACTATATTTTTTTTATTGGCGAATCTTGAAAAATCAAGAGCATCTGGTAATTCATATATATGCATGATCAAATTTATGTAATTTCCAATGGTATGACAACTTTTCACTCAATTTTGTTCAATTTGAGTACTTATTTGACTAAAGTCAAAAGAAATTGGATTCCAAGTCTACTCTAACATCACGAAATGCTATTTCTTAATTTTTGGCAAAGCAATAAAATGTTTTGGGGATGGTGATCAAACATTGTGTAGGTCGGGAAGCAGACAACAATTTTTGGTCATAACCTGTTCAGATTTCACAGATTTAACAACTAAAGAATTTTTCTTTTATATCCGTATACAAGTGTTCAATTTAGTTTCTGGTTATACAGTTATTCATTTAGAAAGTTTCCATATCAATACACACAATACAAACTTTGTTGCTAGAATATGTATGTTGGAGTCGTACCATAATCCTATATGGTTGAAAATTATTAACTAATGACATGTCCATTTGTAAGCTTTATTGGGACTTTTTCTCTTCGAATAATGTGTCAGTTCTAGTTTCCTTTTAGTTAAGTGATTACTCTCTTACAAGTATCCTATCTGATATAAAAGTACATTTCAGGTTGTGAATTCTTCAAGGAATGGAAGGATAACAGCTATACAGGGGAGACAATGATGTTTGACTGGAGTCAGGTTGGTATAAAACATCAATCTTGTAATGGGGCCTGGGTAGCCAAGTGGTCTAAGTAGTTCCTCTACTGTATCACTAGCCTATCAACAATGATGTCGTGAGTTTGAACCCGAACGGGGTAGGGGCGTTTAACTCCAATCTTTATTGACTTGGATTGTCAGTTTTCCTGCTGAAGGTCAGTGGTTATCTCTGGGCACTCCATATTGCTCCACCGAAAAAATATGGCTGCCGTGATATTGCCAATAATGCTGAAAAAGGTATTTAACACAAACAATCAATCATTCTATTCTGGTATATTTATACAGGAATCTTAACTAGTGCATTACAAGTTACTAAAACTGAATATGAGGTCATTTAAAATAAAGAACAATGAGACAACTATCCTTCAAGATCAAGGGACAAAGATGTGAACAATTACATGTCACCTTATGGCGTTCAACAATAAGCAAAACCCACACAACAAAATTATAGTAATCTATACAAGGCCCAAGAATGAGAAAATCTGAAACAGTTCTGAAGAGAAAACCAAGGGCCGATTCATAATACAACAAAAAATGAAAAATTGTCATGACAGAAACAACAACGACGAACACTGGATTACAGGCTCCTGGATTTGGACAGGCATATAAAAAATTATATATATGTAGGGTTAAATATTTTTTTAAGCTAACTCAAACCCTCTTATTACCATTGAGATTGTGGCGTAACAACACAATATAGCTGATTATAAGATGTTATTTTTTGTACAGATTTTCATGGATTGAGAAAAAATTATATCGTGGATATTTGATTTTGTGGTTTTGTCAAAAGTCTGCATACAAGCCTATAGAAAATTTGTACCTTGAAGAACATTGAAATTCCTTGTTCACTTATATCCACGAATTCCTTGAAAATTGGTGTCCCAGATAATAATGAATCCACAATATTCTGCAAAAAGAATGTATGACCTATTCCAGTGTGTTTTATTTTGATTATAGGATTTTGTGGATGCAGTGTTAGATGTACCAAATGATCCATTGTTTGCACAGTTAGGTTTAGATTGGACAAAGTACAGAGTAAATATTTTTTTTCATTAAGATTACTATAGTATGACAGGGATCACCACAACCTATTTAAGGATGGCGGTGCACCACGCTAAAATTTCTAGCACCACGTTAAAATTCCCAGCACCACGCTTATTTTATTGTCCGCCACACTTGAAAGTTCAATAGATTGAAGTTAAATTTCAGATATCCCTAATCCAATTATCATGTCAGTGGCAATTAAGAAGTCGAATTATTGTTAATTGCCTCAAGGGATGTACACTGACAGCTGATTATATTATTTACATGGTCTCGCGTGGTTGAACAAGGTAACAACCAATGAACAATCATGACCCAGTTTCTTCAATTTGAAAAGTAAAACTTGTTTGCAAACTACAGTTATTTTATAGATGCATATGTTTGACTATATCTTAAATGGAATGTTTATATCCTAACTAGATTAATAAAAGCAGTAATCCAAAAAACATTCGGATTCCCTGACCACATGGTCCTTTTGTTGACAACAATGTCACATGATCTCTTTTGGCGGGGAAAATACTGGGGAATACCTAAATAACAGACAAACATTGTCTGGTTATTTTTAGACAGTTAGATCTGGTATAGGAGTTTCCTTATCTTAAAACTCATTTAAAGTAAGAAAAAAGTAAAACTGGATATATAATTCCTTTACATAATTGTATTGGAAAAGAGGGGAGTTAATTTAATAAAATTCTACATAACACATATGATTTTATAAACTGCTAGATAGGCTTAATTTGGTTGAAATGACTGAAATTCTGTGACTGAATGTTTTTTTTGTTATTACTTTCTTTATCTTTTTAGACCTTTTTACCATGTGGTTTTCCATAAGACAATTTAGATAAAATTTGTCAGAATATTCCTGCAATCTGGGAAGCCACATCAGTTGTTTACTCTCCCTGTTTAATATGTTCCTGCAAGTGTGGTGACCACTAATAGGACCAACTACAAAATCTGTGTGAGACCCCCTTTCCAAATTAGCTATATATATGACAAATACATGTAAGGCATATAAATAAAAATTCATGCACAAGGAATCAATTCGACTACACAACACAAAATCTCTGATTTGATGAACTTTCTCCCCAACCCTTGATTTTCATTCTGTGGTGAACCCTGTATGATAAACAATTGTATTGATCTATATAGTAATTGTCATAGCTTTTTGTCTGTGGAGAACCTGTTTATTTTTGGTAGGTTATTGATATAAGATAATTTAAGAATAAATGTGTGTATTTATATTCTTGCTTATGATTAATTCTTAGCCAATATAGACTCTCACCTATCAGTTCATTATTTTTTATGCCCCCATCGTTAAGTTTTACCCTTGTCCGTCTGTACGTCCTAAAATTGGTTTCTGTTCTCTAACTTAAGTTTGCCTCAACCAAATGTTATGAAACTTATACACAATGCTTATTACCACAAAACACAGATCAAGTTTGAATATTGGTGGCGTCACTTTTATCATTCTAGAGTTATGGCCCTTTACAAATGAAAATTCTCTAGCTTTAGTTCGAATTTTGGGCGCGTCACTTTAACCGTTCTAGAGTTGTGCCCCTTTACACATGGAAAAAATGCTGAATTTTTCGTTTCCATTCTCTAACTTGAGTTTGCCTCTACCAAATGTTATGAAACTTATACACAATGCTTATTACCACAAAACTCAGATCAAGTACAAATTTGGGTAGCTTCACCTTTACCGTTCTTGAGTTATGTACCTTTATAAAGTTATATGCAAGCGACGGCATCATCTGGACACATTTTCCCATTTATTTGATAAATTACATGGTTCTGTTGTTCTCAAGATCATTTCTTCATGGGTCAAAATTAAAATATGACATTAAATTTTTCTAATTTTGAGTTTTGTGCCTCGGTTATGGTCCATTGACTTGGGAACTTTTGCATAGTGATTATGGTTGTTTTAAGGAACGCACTAATGCTAAGTCAGTGACATCTAGAATGCAGTTGTTCAAGCATTGGCACATCCCATTATCAAGGAGATTATTATTAAATTCCGTTTTTTTGTCATGGTCCATTGACTTTGAAAGTCATGCATTGTTTACATGTTAATTGGTGCTAGATAAACATTTGCATTATACTATAAAATAAAATAACATATACAGAGACATTTCTATGTGTCAACAGTTTATGAAGTGTAGTTTTTTATTTCAACATATGATTTTTAAGTTTGTTTAAATTACCTGATTTAAATGTTTGATAATATATGTTGGTAATTAAATTGCAAAATAAGGACATATACTGAAGTTTTCTTTTCTTTTTTGGCAGAACTGGGATATTATGCAATTAACACAGAATTATTTATTATTACTGTTACATATTTTAAAAGAAGGTAAGTATACTTTTTCGTGTTTATAACCTTATGAAAACTATAGTATCCTTTTTTGTTTACCAGGTTGACTACTGTATAAGTTTTTTTTTAATTGTTCAAAAACAAGCAAAATAAAGTTAACAACCATATATCACTGTACAGCCTTCAACAATGAGCAAAACCCATAATGCATAACAAGCATAATTGTCTTTAATAATTGATAAAAATGCTGATTTCTTGTTATGGTTATTAATTTTTTTTCTAAGATGAATAGTAGATGTAAATGCATGAGGAAATCAATAGCAACCAAGTCATATTAGATATTTGATTTGTTATCTGTTAGTCTTTTGAATTAGCCTAATTCACATATTTGATTTATACAAAATAAGTTCAATCACATGGTTTATAATGTCAAGTTGCCAACATTGACATCAATTATTCTTCTTGTTTCAAAAATTATATCAACATTTTACTTCATAGGATATGATGAGGGCCTGTTCAATTCCATCACTTCAACTACGATATGTGATATACAGATTTAAAAGCCTTAATCTTGCATGATACTTATATGATCTTCTATTTTTAGGAGACAGTGGTTTATTAGTACATTGTATATCTGGCTGGGACAGAACTCCAATGTTCATATCACTCCTGCGTCTTTCATTATGGGCTGATGGAATTATTCATGCTTCCCTCACGCCCACGGAAATATTATACCTCACACTTGCCTATGATTGGTACTTGTTTGGGTGAGTAAGAGAGTGAGATATGTACTATTAGTATAGGAGTGTTCATTTGACTTTTTTGTATATTTATTTGTCTTAATTCCCTGAATGTAGGTTAGAGATGTGGACATCTGAAATTCAAAGTAGTAATATTTCAATTAAATAAGGTGAAAGATATTAAAAAAAAAATATAAGCATTTAACAACTTCAATTTTTGTAGAAAAATTAAGATACCATATTTTTCATATAAAATGCATGACTTTTGACTATTTTTATGCCCCTGTCGTAGCGGAGGGGGCACTTAGTTTTACCCTTGTCCGTCTGTACGTACGTATGTACGTACGTCCCGAAATTGGTTTCTGTTCTCTAACTTGAGTTTGCCTCAACCAAATGTTATGAAACTTATACACAATGCTTATTACCACAAAACACAGATCAAGTTTGAATTTTGGTGGCGTCACTTCAACCGTTCTAGAGTTATGCCCCTTTATAAATGGAAAAATTGCAAAGTTTTTAGTTTCCGTTCTCTTACTTAAGTTTGCCTCAACCAAATGTTATGAACCTTATACTCAATGCTTATTACCACAAAACACAGATCAAATTTGAATTTTTGTGGCGTCACTTAAATAGTTCTAGAGTTATGCCCCTTTATAAGTGGAAAAATTTGCTAAATTTTTAGTTTCCGTTCTCTAACTTTAGTTTGCCTCAAAAAAATGTTATGAAACTTATACACAATGCTTATAAACACAAAACACAGATCAAGTTTGAATTTTGGTGGCGTCACTTTAACCGTTCTAGAGTTATGCCCCTTTATAAATGGAAAAATTGCTAAATTTTTATTTTCTTCTAGATATCAAGTAATTTTTAAAATTGGAGTTATCTTCCTTTGTCCATGATTATAGTTGAATCAAGTACAATCAATGCTTTATACAATGCAATGTTTAATTTTGACTTCCACTGATAAAACACAGATCAAGTTGAATTTGGGTAGTCACTTTAACCGTTACTGAGTAATGCCCCTTTATAAATTGAAAGATTGCAAAATTTTTAGTTTCCATTCTGTAACTTAAGTTTGCCCCAACCAAACATTATGAAACCTATACACAATATTTATTACCACAATACTAAGATCAAGTACACATTTCAGTGTTCTCCATTTTTCACTAAGGTAAGGTGGGTGTTTTGAAAAAAACACTTGCAACTGGTCGTATTATTTTTTTTATACTTTTCCAACCAGGTTTTTTTACTGTGGGTGTTGTCACAAAAAGAATGGTTAGTATTGTATTCACATTTTATGAAATTAAATATCAAATGGCTTTTGCAGGACTCCCTCCTCCTGCCAAGTTTCTGTCCTGTTCCTTGTTTTAGTGCTGTATTTTTGGCACACAGAACAGTAACATCCTTCTTCTGTGATGATTAGCCATTTGAAGTCCTGTTCATATTTCTCAGCTTGGGAACAACCCCTCAATGTAATGACTATCCCTTTTATGAAGGGTACTTTTCAAGAGATACAAATGAGCACATATTTATTTCATTTACAGAAAATTTTTCCAAAGAACTATACATCTATTTAGTATTGTACGGTCAAAACATGTCCAAGAATTTTGTAATAATCCTGGACTTATATCTACTTTATCATTAAAAATAAAGGGACCCTCTTTGAGAAAAGTTGTTCCAAATATTATATAACTGTACAATGTCTCATGTTTGTTGCTTAGAGTTATACTATCATAAATTATTGTTAATTGTAAATGTCCCCGTGGGACCCTGATTGGAATAACAAAATATTTGATTTGAATCGATTTTATAACCTTTTAAGTTAAAAAATCTTAGTTTTTCTTTTTTCTTTTCTTCAACAGTAAGACGACCTCTGGTCTCTCATTTAAGGAATATCCCTCATAATTTAGAGGGATTGTTCCAAAACCTGCCAGTTTACATTCTCGATCGCTCGTGTGCCTTTTCCGTTGTTTTGATACTTTTTTTTCAATTTTAACAATTTCAATACAACTATCCGTTTTAGTTGACTTATTTTGCCTAGAATTTTCCTTATCACCATCGTCATCTACCTTTTTCTTCCCCCGATTAATAAAAGAAAACATTGAAATTTGACGATCCGCCATTTTTGTCAATGAAAACAAATTAGCGAGGCGCGATTAGTATTTAAATTTTTACGGTGCGGAACCAAAAAAAAATCCAGAATTTGAAAAATAAAAGCCGACCACCTCCTAAAATGGAAAGGTGGTCGGCTTTCAAAAGAAGGTGGTCGGCACACCCGGCTTAAATGCCGAATGGAAAACACTGCATTTTTTGTTTCCGTTTTCTAACTTTATTTCTTGTCAGATTGTTTTGTGAAAATAGTTTCAGATCTTTAGAAGGAATGACAAGAACTTGAGAATATTTTATCAGATTTTCTTATTATGTAGCTTTCAAATGAATAAGAAATTCAGAGATTATTAGGTAGAAAAATGTCTGGCTAGGAAAAAATCAGAGAGTTTGCAAATTTAAGAGTTCACAGAAAATTTACATATGTGTAGTAAAAATCCATTAGATTTATTTTTGTGCATCAACTGTATTTACTCCTCATTTTTGTAGTTAAATTTTTGAAAATTTTGTCAAGCATAAGAAATTTTAAAGAATGCTTTTATTTCCAGACACAATCTTCCAGACAGGGTCCATAAAGGAGAAGAGGTAAGAATGATACGTTGTCCTTTAAAAATATTTATTTTATATCGGTTAAGAATTATCTTCTCTAATTGAATAACAAGGGGCCGCATGACATGCTTTATTCTTTTGTAAAAAAAATCCATCGGTCTAACAGAAAAAAAATGGACCAGAAAACCGGTTGTTAACGGACTTTTACATGTTAATGACCAGTGGGGCATGGTTTCTCTGTTTAGAGTGATGTCCCTTTAATAAAAGCAATTGCGATTCAGATGTTTGGAACATGGCTGAACTGGAAGGCACGTCTGCTACAGACAACTCAAATGATTGTTTTGCCGTACTTTCCGATGCTGATAGAGACTCAGCAACAAGAATCATAAAATTATAGAAAACTTTATTTTGTATTCATATACTGAAAAATTGCACTTAAATGAATGGCAGTGACCTATAGTTATCACTATGACTGGCCTTCACTCTTTCCTATAGAAATGGAAATCGTACAATAATTCGAGTTTGCTTTGAACAATTTGAATTTATGAGAATTTTTAAAAGCATGGTTCCTCAATGAAATAAACATAATAGTTATTGAAGAACTGGACATTATCGTGATACATGGACTGCCCGTAGGAAAATAATAGAATACAAATTTATAATGTCTTCCAAAAATATTGGAAGTGAAATTGCTCTGAGTTGAAATATGAAGCTACTACTGTATGCTCTAGAAGTCATTTTCCAAAACCTTGGATATATTTATGCCTTGCTAAAGATAGAAAGGTGTGATTAAGTTTTCCAGTCTTTGCATCCATTCATCCATTCTGTTTCAGGGGTTCAGGTACAAATTTTGGTTTAAGGTAATTTACCATGAATTTGTGGGCACATCAACTTTAAACTTAGTTCAAATATTCATTTTGATATGAAGTTTTGAAGAAGAAAAAAACATATTCCAAACGATGGTTTTGAACCAGATTTGGCAGTTCACCAAACATTGAAATGGGATAGGTTGAGCGGGGCATGGAGTCATATGGACATTTATTATTGTTTAATAATAAAAACAACCAAAGTATGAAATTGACATAATTCCAACCTTTAATGGTTTTCCCATGCCTTCAAATAACAAAAAGCGATTAAATAACAACACAATAGTAACAACTTTGTGTTTATGTTAGTCAGTTTTATTATTATATTCAATTACTATGTGACTCTAAGATTTGTATAAAATGTAGAATTTCAGTTTTCACACTATGTTCCTTATTTAAGCTCATTTATACATTAAAAAAAAGTTAAGTCATTATAGGCTGATTTGATGAGTCTTAATATATAGTTAAAAATTGTGTTAAATATTTCAAAACAAACTTCAGATGGTTTCAACATAAAAGATAGTGTTTATTTCAAAACAAAACTTAAATCAGTTTCAACATCAAAATGTATGTATGAGATATTTACTTTCTGTTTCATAAAGGAGATGAGGTAGGAATTGTCCATTAAAATATATATTTGAAATGTTATTTGAAAACTGACCTTTTGGGTATCTTACAGTGACCTATAGTTGTTTAGATCCTAGCCCTTTTGTCTCTGCTGGATATTTGTCTCATTGACAATAAAATAACATCTCCTTACTTTTATACTCATAGGTAAAAATCAAAGTAAGAAGATGTGGTATGATTGTCAATGAGACAACTATCCATCAGAGACCAATTGATTAAGATGTAAGCAACTAACTACTCCACTAAAACAAGAAAAAATAGATAATCATGTTTTTTTATATATATCTAGTTTGTTAAACCAAATATTTCCACTACATACTTATTCCTTTTTCAGACTGGGTATTTATCTGTTAGTAGCTTAACATAAACAAATGACACCATTGGTTTTCTCTATTTCAGATTTTATTTTTCTGTTTTAATTTTCTGACTCACATTGCATCAGATGATTTTTCTGCAGTCAAGAAAAGGTAATCAACAGAACTGTTTGATATGAGTATGTGTATTTTTGTCGAGCCTGCGACTGTTGTCGCAGAAAGCATGACATAGGGATAGTGATCCGGAGGCGGAGGCGGCGGCAGCGGTGTTAGCTAACTTCTTAAAAGCTTTATATTTTAGAAGATGGTTCAGTTACTACTCGAAAAAAAAGTTAAGATTTTTTGTAATGTTAATTTCTCTCTTATTATGAGTAATAGGATAACTATATTTGGTATGTGCGTACCTTGCAAGGTCCTCATGCCCGTCAGACAGTTTTCACTTGACCTCGACCTCGTTTCATGGATCAGTGAAGAAGGTTAAGTTTTGGTGGTCAAGTCCATATCTCAGATACTAGAAGCAATAGGTCTAGCATATTCGGTGTATGGAAGGACTGTAAGGTGTACATGTCCAACTGGCAGGTGTCATCTGACCTTGACCTCATTTTCATGGTTCAGTGGTTATAGTTAAGTTTTTGTGTTTTGGTCTGTTTTTCTTATACTGTATGCAATAGGTCTACTATATTTGGTGCATGGAATGATTGTAAGGTGTACATGTCAGTCTTGCAGGTTTTATTTGACCTTGACCTCATTTTCACGGTTCATTGCTCAGGGTTAAGTTTTTGTGTTTTGGTCTGTTTTTATATGACCGCAAAAATTAAAAAATTTTTGGTCGTATATTGGTATGACGCTGGCGTCGTCGTTCGTTGTCGTCGTCGTCCTGCGTCGTCCGAAGACACATTGGTTTTCGCACTCTAACTTTAGTTTAAGTGAATGGATCTCCATGAAATTTTACCATAAGGTTCAATACCACAAAAGGAAGGTTGGGAATGATTTTGGGGGTTATGGTACCAACAGTTAAGGAATTAGGGGCCAAAAAGGGGCCAAAAATAAGCATTTTTGTAACTTCCAGACAATAACTTGTGTGTAAGTGTATGGATCTCTCTGACATTGTACCACAAGGTTCCATATCACAAAGGGAAGGCTGTAATTGATTTTGGGGGTAATTGCCTCAAAATTTTAGAAATTAGGGGCCACAAAAGGGGCAAAAAACAAGCATTTTTCTAGTTTCATGACAATAACTTGTGTGTGAGTGTTTGGATATTTCTGAAATTGTACTACAAGGTTCCATATCACAAAGGGAAAGCTGGGTTTGAGTTTTGGGGTAATTGCCCGAAACGTTTAGGAATTGGGGGCCAAAAAGGGGCCAAAAATAAGCATTTTTCTAGTTTCCAGACAATAACTTGTGTTCAAGTGTATGGATCTCTCTGAAATTGTACTGCAAGGTACCATACCACAAAGGGAAGGCTGGGATTGAGTTTGGGGGTGATGAATCATAAGGGGGTTCAAAAAATTTGGGGGGGGGGGATTTTTTTTTTTTTCTTTTTTTTTCTTTTTTTCCTTTTTTTTTTCTTTTAAAATTTTCCATTTTAAGTTGGTTATTTCTGATTTATATTTAAAAGCAAATAATAATGATATGGTAGGAGATACACACCAAACAGGATGTGTAAATTATTATATTATAAGTATTGTGCAATAGCAAGAAATTTTCAATTGCACAGTATTGCACAATAGCAAGAAATCTTCAATTGCACAGTATTGCTCAATAGCAAGAAATCTTCAATTGCAGAGTATGCGCAATAGCAAGAAATATACAATAGCACAATATTGCGCAATAGCAAGAAATTGTCAATTGTACAGTATTGCGCAATAGCAAGAAATATTCAATTGCACAGTATTGTGCAAAAGAAGATACTTCGTATAAATTGCTTATTTCTTGATCAATTTCAATGGGGTTTTATTCTTGAATTCTTGGGGTTCTTTAATATGATGAATCTAACCCTGTATTAAGTTTTTGGATTTTGGGCCCCGTTTGTAAATTGGTCCACATTGAGGTCCTAAGGGTCCAAAATTTGACTTTGTTTGATTTCATCAAAAATTGAATTATTGGGGTTCTTTGATATGCCGAATCTAACCGTGTATTTAGATTCTTAATTTTTGGTTCCGTTTTCAAATTGGTCTACATTAGGGTCCAAAGGGTCCAAAATTAAACTTAGTTTGATTTTAACAAAAATTGAATTTTTAGGGTTCTTTGATATGCTGAATCTAAACATGTATTTAGATTTTTGATTATGGGCCCAGTTTTCAAGTTGGTCCAAATCGGGGTCCAAAATTAAACTTTGTTTGATTTCAACAAAAATTGAATATATGGGGTTCTTTGATATGCTGAATCTAACCATGTATTTAGATTTTTGATTTTTGGGCCCCGTTATCAACTTTGTCCACATTGAGGTCAAAAGGGTCCAAAATTAATCTTTGTTTGATTTCATCAAAAATTGATTTCTTGGGGTTCTTTGATATGCTGAATCTAACCATGTATTTAGATTTTGGATATTGGACCATAATAGGTGAATGTCCAATTTAAAATTTTTAAGTTCTTAGACCACATTCATTCTGTGTCAGAAACCTATGCTGTGTCAAATATTTAATCACAATCCAAATTCAGAGCTGTATCAAGCTTGAATGTTGTGTCCATACTTGCCCCAACTGTTCAGGGTTCGACCTCTGCGGTCGTATCAAGCTGCGCCCTGCGGAGCATTTTAACCTAATACTATAAGCAATAGGTCAACTATATTTGTTGTATGGAAGGATTGCAAGCTGTACATGTCTGCCTGGCATGGTTCATCTGACCTTGACCTCATTTTCATGGTTCATTGGTCAATGTTTAGTTTTCTTGGTTAAGTCTGTATCTTAGAAACTATAAACAATAGGTCAACTATATTTAGTGTATTGAATGATTGTAAGGTGTACATGTATTTCTTTGTTTGGTTTATATGACCTTGACCTCATTTTCTTGGATCATGTCAAGTGTATGTGATAGTTGTAGTAAAGCTTTATATTTAGGATCATCAACATAATATCAATGATTAGTAAAGAAGGCAAGACATTTCAGCGTGTGCACTCTTGTTATATTTTCAATTCCCTTTTGTTAAGAAAATAAATTGATGAATAAATGTTTCTCAAATAAACTTTTTCTAAGAAAGCTTGGCAAATTCATTAAACAAAAGATATCCCTTAACCAAAGAACACACACAATTTAGATTTAGTATAACCTGAGTTGGTACAAGAACTATCTAGGAAGGGATATTTTAATATAATATAAATAACTCATGTTTCATTTAAATGTAAATACTGCAAATTTTAGATAGACCTTACACTAAAAGGTTTTGATTGAAATGGGAGGGGGGCAGGGGTATTATCTGTTTCCTGAAGTTGACATGTATTGTTGATTATTTTACTTTCAAACTTTTTTGATCTGAGCATCACTGGTTAGTCTTGTGTGGACGAAATGCGCGTCTTTCATATTAAATTTTAATCCTGGTACCTTTTGTTATGTTTTCCCATTTATTTGTATTGTAGTCCTGTCATGTAATGTTGTCATTTTAATGTTATATTTAACATTGCCATAAAAGCGGGAGGTTTGGCTAGCCACAAAACCAGGTTCAACCCACCATTTTTTTCTTAAAATGTCCTGTACCAAGTCAGGAAAATGGCCATTGTTATATTATAGTTCGTTTCTGTGTGTGTTACATTTTAATGTTGTGTTTCTGTTGTGTCGTAGTTCTCCTCTTATATTTGATGTGTTTCCCTCAGTTTTAGTTTGTAACCCTGATTTGTTTTTTTCTCAATCGATTTATGAATTTCGAACAGGGGTATACTACTGTTGCCTTTATTTACATATATCCATTTAATCAATTTCTTTTTATACCTTCAGAGAACCAAAACATGTTTCTAGGAATGTTTCAAGACACAATTCAGAGTGCAATATAGAGGGTGTTTTATTAGGTAAACTTAGAATTTTAGAAAATGTTTTATTACAGAAAAGCTGAAACTTTTACCATTGCTTTAAAGTCTTAAGTTTGTTATTAGGTCATTTGAATGAGAACCACTTATGCTAAGGGCATAAGATACAGAAAAGATCTCTTATTGATTCTTCCTTAAAATTTGGACCAAAAAGTTCAAAATTCAAAGGATCAGAATTGTTTTTCTAGTATTTTTAAAAAGTTATTTCAATTTTTACAGTAAAAATGAAATTTTAAGTATCATTAAATGTAAATATTTAAGGGTTGTATTTATAATTTCAGATAATGATCCTCGACGACTAAGTTATCGAGGTAGTAACACAAGTATAAGTAGCATTGGAAGCAGTAGTATAGAGGGCGCTCCTACATTTTTCTCAACCAATGAATCTGATGACGATTCGGTCAAAACAAATGGGTTTGTAGAAAGAGTTCATTCTGATGCATAAAGTTTGTTTCTTGTTAGAATACTTTGTTAATAGTATTGACATTTCTAAACAAAGTAATGTATTTAAGATATTTACTTAGCCAAAGCAAAAACATTAAAACAAATATGCTACCATCCCACTGACACCGAAAGATTTTTTAAAGAAAGTATGCCATTGACAAAATCATATTTGAATGGCAGTAATGCTTTATTTAATATGAAAAAAAATTTTGCTGTTGATGAGTTAAACAATATGCTTTCATCTCAGATTAGATTCCCCTCAATGGAGACAAAAATTGTGTATTTGCCATAGAAATCTCAAAACTAATGTAACAACTAAACTAAAACAATTAACTTCCTTGTAGGATCTTAGTTACACGTAGACATATCTCATGCATGATTTTTATGATAGCTGTCCTTTATTTATTATTTTAAACAAACTCTTTCTGACATGATATTTTCTGGTGAAATATAACACGCATTTGTGTTCAGTGGGATGTGCGTCACTTTAATTTTTAGCATGGTTTGTATAAAATCATATGTTGATCATTATTTTCTTCGTTATAGTTGATATAACAGATGCTTGATTATGCTTTTGCTTGTGTTATTAAGTGGAAATTTTGTAGAATACTGATATTTCACTGATAATTTTCTTCCAAAATACAAAAAAGATCTAGTTATTACTATTGTAAAATTCAATTTTAAGATTCTAAATTTATGAAGCAGTAAAGATTCTCATTATTTGTTTTATTAATGTAGTCTACTCTTAATTTTTGGAAAAACTACAGTTATGCAAACGAAATTGGTCCTTAGCAAAAATAATTGCAGTGTGAGTCAATATATGTATAAAATTGTTAATCCCTCTGGTTTTAAAGTTATTAAACTAGTATTACATTAATTTTCCTTACAGAATCTCCACTTTGTACTAATGTATAGCATATTTTTCTAGGAATCCTAGTATGATGATTGGTCCACAATCAAGACATAAATTGCCTGTAGAAAGTCCCATCCATTTTAACATCAGTCATTACAACAATACACCATCATCATCTAGTCCAATGGCAGTACCAAATAATCTCAGAAAATACTCAACCATGTCAACAGGCTCTCCTGCATGTGGAAGGTGTGTTTACTGTGAGACAGACTTGAGCTCTAGTTAAAAAAATTATTGCAATGGTTATCCTCCATTAATTGAAAACAAAAATCATCAGACTTTCCAATATATTCAGAGCTGCAGCGACCAAGCATAAAAAATTAGAGCGCGGAGATTTAATTTAGATTAGATTGCAGACTTTCAAAATCATTGATATCTGATGTAATTGGAATGTTACATAATATGTAAATAGGTTATGTTTATTTGTGAATTCTATTTTAAGAGATACAGTAAATTTCTTTTTGAAAAGAAAATATGATCTGTTTTACTTAACATTTTACAACAAAGGTGTGGAAGATATTTCTTTATGTTTACCTACAAATTATATGAGGCTTTATTATTGTTATTGATGTCTTGCAAGAGTTTGATTCTTATAAAAATTAGAAATTTGCATTATTTTTTGAGAAAGGGGTCAGTGCAGGTTTTATAGTGTTTTCATTTCATTACTCCTTTGGATTTGAAAGAAAATTTACAAAGATTTCTAATCTTTTATTGACAATATTTATGAAAGTCAAATAATCAGAAATGGGAGACTTTTTTTGTTAACTTCTACCTTTTTGTAACTAAATGTTGGGGCATGACATATTTGAGCTCCGCCATTTAGTTTTTTCTTCATTTTACCACAATTCCTTGATCTGTTTATAAGTATTGACTTTTAGGTAAACGCTGTAATTATAAATATAATTCCTAGGAGAAGATGGTCTCAGCCATATGATACTTGATCAGCCAATTGTATTCATAAAAGCTACCTTTTTTTTCTCACTTTTGATGTGGTCCAAACCCCATTTTCATTACAAATTCATATTACATCAGCTATTCCATGGTCATCACCTCAATATAAAACATTTTAAAATGTTCTGCATGGGGGTAAATAGTTAACAATCAGTAAACTAAAACTGCTCAATCAAAATGTATGTTTAATTTGAGCACTTTGAACATTGACAAAAATGTTTCATTATAAAAGATCACAATTGTAACATGAACCATAATCAGAAATGACAGATTTCCAGAATTTACCAAACATGACCTTATAAGGCTTTTCATAGTCAATCTTCATTTCCATCATCTATTTATTAGTATTGTTTTACTCAGGAAAAAATTATTTCTGAGTCATAGCTAAGCTAAAGTAATTATTATATGATATATATTCTCTAAACTGAAAGGAAATGCAGTAGTAAGCCAATCCCATATAAATTGGCAAAATGAAAATAATTAATGGTACATTTTAAGAAAAATAAACTAAATTCATTATCCATAAATAATTGAGAATCACAGACACCAAGAACTTTTATGTAAGTAATTTAGGAGAAAAAGATTTTAAAGCTGATACAATGACCTGGAATTGAAACATCTTATCATTTTTACATCTGGCAAAGTTTGGTTCTTTTGCAGCTGAGCATAGTCAGGATTTCGCAAGCCAAGCTTATTTATTTCTAAGGCCAGCTTTCATAGAAAGAAAACTAGTGTTTTCTTGTTTCATTTCTGCAGCAAACATAGAAGGGGCTTTACTTATATTAAGTGTATACTTGGCTTAAGATTGTTATATTGTACTGAATATACAGTTTTTATGGCCATGTCTATTTCTATATCTATTGGCTCAAATATCATCATGTGCTTGATTTCTAGTCTTATATCTATAATAGTCATCCAACCTTTTTTTTACTGCAGTTAACCTTTGGGGTGATAGAGATTTAAAAATGTATTATTCTCCCCAATTGTTTTACCTATTCATAACATAATTTGAAATGCATTATTCTCATTGTCAAATGTTTTTTTCACATGAACAACATAACTTGTACCTGTTATAGTTGGCAAGTAGTATCCAGTACAGGCAGTCTGAGGGGACTTGTATCATCACATGATTCTCCATTGTCAGACAGTAACAGTAGTGGTGGTCATGGTTCAAGTCGGCCGAGCTCGTAAGTTTGTCACATGACTCCCTTATTAGATAGCAATAGTTATGGCTTTGATTCCAGTTAACTAAACATTGAGTTTCTTTTTATACGACCGCAAAAAAATTTTGTGGTCGTATATTGGTATGACGTTGGCGTCGTCGTCGTCGTCGTCGTCCGGCGTCGTCGTCCGAATACATATTGGTTTTCGCACTCTAACTTTAGTTTAAGTGAATGGATCTTTTTGAAATTTGACCATAAGGTTAAATACCACAAAAGGAAGGTTGGGATTGATTTTGGGGGTTATGGTACCAACAGTTAAGGAATTAGGGGCCAAAAAGGGGCCAAAAATGAGCATTTTCTAGTTTCCAGACAATAACTGTGGAACGGTGTATGGATCTCTCTGAAATTATACTACAAGTTTCCATACCACAAAGGGATGGTTAGGATTTGCTTTGGGGGGTTATGGCTCAAACCGTTTAGGAATTAGGGGCAAAAAAGGGGGAAAAACAAGGTTGTCCTGGTTAATGGACAAATACTTTAGTACAAAACATAATTTAAAGCAGTGTAAGGGAGATAAATCAAATACATCATTGAAATTATCTCCCTTACACTGCTTTTAAATTATGTATAAAGTAATGGTTAATGAACAATAAAGATAATCTAAAACAGTGTAAGGGAGGTAATCCAAATACAACGTTTTGGTTACTTCCCTTACACTGCTTTTAAATTATGTTTAAAGAAATGCATATTTATAAAGGAAGACCAGTAAAAATATCTGCAAATGTTTTCATCTTTTTTTTTTACAAAAAAATCCATATGAAAGATTTGACACTATATTTTTATTAATTCTATTATAAAATAGATTAAGTTAGCACTATGGTAAATTTAAATGGGTAATTATGGTTACCAACTCCATTGGAAATTTGAATTGAGATTATGACCATATCTTGAGGGAAAGAATTTTTTTTGGGGAAAAAGGGGGGGGGGATAAAAAGAAATTGTGGGGGGCCAATTTTTTCTCATTTCAGATTTCAGAAATTAAAAAGAATTATTCTTCAAATATTATTTTTTTTTCAAATTTCAAATATTGAAAAATTTCAAGAAGTAATCTTTAATTGCACAGTATGGCGCATTAGATTTGTGAAATCTTTGATCACATTTATTTATTTGTTATGCCGAATCTAACAGTGTATTTAGATTTTTAATTTTGGGTCCAGTTTTCAAATTGGTCTACATTAATGTCCAAAGGGTCCAAAATTAAACTTTGTTTGATTTTAGCAAAAATTGAATATATGAGGTTCTTTGATATGCTGAATCTAAACATGTATTTAGATTTTTGATTTTTGGCCCAGTTTTCAAGTTGGTCCAAATTGGGGTCCAAAATTAAACTTTGTTTGATTTCAACAAAAATTGAATATATGGGGTTCTTTGATATGCTGAATCTAACCATGTATTTAGATTTTTTATTTGTGGACCCCGTTATCTAATTGGTTCATATTGAGGTCAAAAGGGTCCAAAATTAAACTTTGTTTGATTTCATCCAAAATTGAATTATTGGGGTTCTTTGATATTCCAAATCTAACCGTGTATTTAGGTTTTTAATTTTGGGTCCTGTTTTTTTAAATTGGTCTACATTGAGGTCCAAAGGGTCCAAAATTAAACTTAGTTTGATTTTGACAAAAATTGAATTCTTGGGGTTCTTTGATTTGCTGAATCTAAACATGTGTTTAGATTTTTGATTATGGGCCCAGTTTTCAAGTTGGTCCAAGATAGGGTCCAGTATTTAAACTTTGTTTGATTTCAACAAAAATTGAATATATGGGGTTCTTTGATATGCTGAATCTAAACATGTATTTAGATTTTTTATTATGGGCCCAGTTTTCAAGTTGGTCCAAATTGGGGTCCAAAATTAAACTTTGTTTGATTTCAACAAAAATTGAATATATGAGGTTCTTTGATATGCTGAATCTAACCATGTATTTAGATTTTTTATTTGTAGGCCCCTCTATCAAATTGGTTCATATTGAGGTCAAAAGGGTCCAAAATTAAACTTTGTTTGATTTCATCAAAAATTGAATTATTGGGGTTCTTTGATATTCCAAATCTAACCGTGTATTTAGATTTTTAATTTTAAGTCCCGTTTTTTAAATTGGTCTACATTAAGGTCCAAAGGGTCCAAAATTAAACTTAGTTTGATTTTAGCAAAAATTGAATTCTTGGGGTTCTTTGATATGCTGAATCTAAACATGTGTTTAGATTTTTGATTATGGGCCCAGTTTTCAAGTTTGTCCAAGTTGGGGTCCAAAATTAAACTTTGTTTGATTTTAACAAAAATTGAATATATGGGGTTCTTTGATATGCTGAATCTAACCATGTATTTTGATTTTGGACATTGGACCATAATAGGTAAATTAAAAAAAATTCAAGTTCTTAGACCACATTCTTTCTGTGTCAGAAACCTATGCTGTGTCAAATATTTAATAACAATCCAAATTCAGAGCTGTATCAAGCTTGAATGTTGTGTCCATACTTGCCCCAACTGTTCAGGGTTCGACCTCTGCGGTCGTATCAAGCTGCGCCCCAGCGAAGCATTTTATTTATATTTATATAAAACTTCATTAACAGGATGGTCAAAATAAAGGATTTAACACAAGACTACAAATATAAGCCTAAAATTTTATAAATTAACATTTTACTTTAAAGGCATATTTTTACTAAGATGTAACCAAAAGTATTGAATATATCTCTGTCTGTCTGTCTGTTCATCTGTCTGTCTGTATGTCCATCAGTCCTGTTCTTGTCATTGCAACTCTTCTGAAACCAAACAACAGAATTTCATGAAACTTTGTAGTTACCGGGTATTAAGGACATGCTATGTAGATGTGCATATCCATATAAAATTATTTGATTTTTTTTCTAGGAGTTATGCCCTTTTGAACTTAAAATTTTGGCATAAATATACTACTGCAACAGAATTTTATGAAACTTTGTAGATAATAAGGACATAATATGAGATTTTGTTTGCTCTGTAACAATGTAGGGGTGAATGGGTATGTGAGCATGTTAACCAAGGTTCTTTAATTGGAGTTATTATTGTTATTTTTATTAGCAATATTGGTAACATTTGACAGAGTTTAGAAATGTTAAAATTGTGAAAAGAATAAAGAATTGTATTTGATTTGATTTCCAAACATAAACTTATATAACAGATTTTAATGATATGAACTATGTTTTACAGTTTATAGTCTGAAATAATTGCATTTGATGGGACTATTAAGAGTCATTTTTAAACTGAACTTTATGACAGAAGACCCATCTACAATTTTCCAATTGTGAATTTTCCTTTACTTGTAGTACCTGCATTTGTCAGTTGATACATATTCAAGAGTTTATTTTTACTATCAGGATATCCTAGACGGTTTTGCCTTACAAGAAAGATGCTTCCTGATATTATACTAAATCATTTTATCCTGTGTAACAGAATTTTTGTTTTTTGTTTTGTTTTGTTTTAGATGTCAAGAAGCCACAGAGACTGTAATCCCAGAAAGCCAAAGGTGGAACAAACTTGACTCTGTTAGAAGAATATTTCATAATGCATATACAAACAAAATCATTGCTTCCAACGGCAAAAAGGGAGGCATATCAAATTTGTTGGACCAGTTCGCTGAAAAAGTTGGATTTAAGTCTGGGAAAACTTGAAACCATAGACAATGATAAGACAATTTACAACAAAACCAATTGTGATAAAAAAGAAAATAATATATAAAATTTAAAGGGAGTAATGTGTGTTGGTTTTATTTTTATTTTGCTTCACAATCAGAATAGCCAATTTGATTTTTAGCTCACCTGACCTGAAAGGTCAAGTGAGCTTTTCTCATCACTTTGCGTCCGTCGTCCGTCGTCCGTCGTCCGTAAACTTTTACAAAAATCTTCTCCTCTGAAACTACTGGGTCAAATTTAACCAAACTTGGTCACAATCATCATTGGGGTATCTAGTTTTAAAAATGTGTCCGGTGATCCGGTCAACCAACCAAGATGGCCGCCATGGCTAAAAATAGAACATAGGGGTAAAATGTAGATTTTGGCTTATATCTCTGAAACCAAAGCATTTAGAGCAAATCTGACATGGGGTAAAATTGTTTATCAGGTCAAGATCTATCTGCCCTGAAATTTTCAGATGAATCTGACAACCCGTTGTTGGGTTGCTGCCCCTGAATTGGTAATTTTAAGGAAATTTTGCCGTTTTTGGTTATTATCTTGAATATTATTATAGATAGAGATAAACTGTAAACAGCAATAATGTTTAGCAGAGTAAGATCTACAATTAAGTCAACTTGACCAAAATGGTCAGTTGACCCCTTAAGGAGTTATTGCCCTTTATAATCAATTTTTAACCATTTTTCGTAAATTTTTGTAATCTTTTACAAAAATCTTCTCCTCTGAAACTACTAAGACAAATTTAACCAAACTTGTCCACAATCATCATTAGGGTATATAGTTTAAAAAATGTGTCCGATGACCCCGCCCACGAACTAAGATGGCCGACATGGCTAAAAAATAGTACATAGGGTAAAATGCAGTTTTTGGCTCATATCTCTGAAACCAAAGCATTTAGAGCAAATTTGACAGGGGTAAAATTGTTTATCAGGTCAAGATCTATCTGCCCTGAAATTTTCAGACCAATCAGGCAAATCGTTGTTTGGTTGCTGCCCCTGAATTGGTAATTTTAATGAAATTTGTCGTTTTTGGTTATTATCTTGAATATTATTATATATAGAGATAAACTGTAAACAGCAATAATGTTCAGCAAAGTAAGATCTACAATTAAGTCAACTTGACCAAAATGGTCAGTTGACCCCTTAAGGAGTTATTGCCCTTTGTAGTCAATTTTTAACCATTTTTCGTAAATTTTTGTAATCTTTTACAAAAATCTTCTCCTCTGAAACTACTAAGACAAATTTAACCAAACTTTTACACAATCATCATTAGGGTATAAAGTTTAAAAAATGTGTCCGATGACCCCGCCCGCGAACCAAGATGGCCGACATGGCTAAAAATAGAACATAGGGGTAAAATGTAGATTTTGGCTTATATCTCTGAAACCAAAGCATTTAGAGTAAATCTGACATTGGGTAAAACTGATTATCAGGTCAAGATCTATCTGCCCTGAAATTTTCAGACCAATCAGGCAACACGTTGTTGGGTTGCTGCCCCTGAATTGGTAATTTTAAGAAAATTTTGCAGCTTTTGGTTATTATCTTGAATATTATTATAGATAGAGATAAACTGTAAACAGCAATAATGTACAGTAAAGTAAGATCTACAAATAAGTCAACATGACCAAAATTGTCAATTGACCCCTTAAGGAGTTATTGCCCTTTATAGTCAATTTTTTACAATTTTTTCATAAATTTTGTAAATTTTTGTAAATTTTTACAAAATATTTTCCACTATAACTACTGGGCCAAGTTCATTATAGATAGAGATAATTGTAAGCAGCAAGAATGTTCAGTAAAGTAAGATCTACAAACACATCACCATCACCAAAACACAATTTTGTCATGAATCCATCTTTGTCCTTTGTTTAATATGCACATATACCAAGGTGAGCGACACAGGCTCTTTAGAGCCTCTAGTTATTTTCTTTCCCATCATTGATCTATTTGCGAAGAATGGAAATTGATAAAAAAAAAAGAAAAGTATGTCATTATCTTATAACAATATTATGTAATTTCTGCCTCATATTTTCTTTTAAAAAATGACAAAAAATTATTAAGCTTAATTCTATGATATAGCTAACGTAAGATCAGAATGTTCTAGGGAAATTTGAATCTAGCATCATATTGCAGCAACTACTGTTTTTGAAGATAAAAGATTTAACCAGATTATTTATCAGTGGTTGATAAAAAAAAAAAAAGCTTTTAGATAAATCTAAAACATAGGATGAGCCAGCCAGGTGTAATGTGTCAATCATGATGATCTAAATATTATATAACTGTGTTTTACAATATGACAAGAAACCAGTAGTATATACCATTGATATATCACTATTAATGTCTCGTAGAAGAACTTGAATGTGAGGCATAAGAATTGAAGTCTTGCAATCATGAAATGTAGGTTATGGTGACCTAGTTTTATGGAATACATTCATTGAACAAGTAAATTGAAGCTGCAGTGAAATGTCATGTAGAAGAACCTGAATGTGAGGCATAAGAATTGAAGTCTTTCAATCATGAAATGTAGGTTATGATGACCTAGTTTTATGGAATACATTCATTGAACAAGTAAAGTAAAGCAGTGAAATGTCAACTAATTCAATTAAATACAGATGCTCTTAGTAAGTTTCTGTAATATGGACCTAAGTACAAAATTTTAACCAAATGTGAAATACAGCACAAAATTATTACTGAATGAACTGTTTTGTACTGTCTCAATATGTTGTAACCATTAACAAATACACATCTCATATACAAATGAACCCTTCTTGAAAGATTTTTTAATAATACTTGCAGCCGGATATTTAGACATATAGTCTCTCTGAATACAGTCCTTGGATGGTGTTAACTTCCCACTAACACCATACACCAATACACCATTCACCATACACCATTACACCATACACTCTGTGCCATTACATCATACACGTTACACCTTTGCACCATACACCTTACACATTACACCATAATGCAATTTAATTTCAAAGAAAGCGTGCGACTACAAAATTATTTATTTATTTTAAAAAACGAATTTTGATCACAATATTGTAAATTAATTAATGTATAAAATCAAAAATCTGTTCTTTAATATTTTGCATAGTTTTAAATGTCGTACACCATTCATTCACACCATTCCCGATCATCCTTACACCATACACCAAAGCACCATACATCATTACACCATACACGTTTTTTGGGAAGTTTACACCATCCAAGGGCTGTAATACATTTAGACCCTTGGTAATATTATTTATCCACTAGATTTTAGTTTTGACAACTCGGACGTCAAAATTCGAAAGCTGTTATTATTTGTTTTTTAATATTGAGTTTCTTTGAGATATCTTCATGCCAAAGCATTACTCAAGGCAATTATATCACCGAATTTTCCGACCAGTGGATTTTTATCAATGGCATTTTGTGTGTTAAAAATTTGGAAATCAATCCTTTTATCAAAAACACTGCAGGTATCCGGAATATATTTCTTGGAGGTTAATGCATAATTCAATATTCAACAGCATTACACGCTGATATAGTATTTTGAATGCTTAGATCAGTCAAATTTTCAAAATTTATATTGAAACACATGAAAATATTTTCTCATCAATTCTTCGAAAAGGCTTCTGAATTTTCATATATTTGATGTAAAATTATTAGTGTTATCAAAAGGAATATTTTTACTTGACCGGTTGCTAGGATAATCTTTTGACTGATTAACCGGTTTACCAGTATGCAAGTTAATGTTAAGAGAAAATGTACCCGTAAAGGTTACCGGGGGAAAGAAATATGGTCACTTTTGGTCTTCTTCTAACTTGCAGTAAAATACTTGCCAAAGAGGGGCGTCCGTTTGACTGTGTGGAATGTATGAATTCGCAGCCACGTCTGGTCAGAATTAAAAGTCCTCGTGTAGAGAATATTTCGAGCTCTCCAGACTTTTAAAGTCTTTTAATTTCTGTCCCCTTCAAAAATACCCTCATTTTCCAGTAGCATTCAAAATGTCGGACCCATATTGCAGGACCTGCCTATTGCATTAATTGTTAACTTGTTCTAATCTTGAACATGGTGTATGGTTATATAATACAGTCGAACCTCGTTATGTCGAAGTTGAAGGGACAGGACCAAAGTATTCGACTTATCCAAGGTTCGACTCATCCGAGGTCGAGTGTGTCGTCATAAATTGTGAATGCATGAAATACGGTATGAGATTTGTGTAAACTAGATACTTTGAACAGCATACCTTTTTTCGATATGGCACTTTATGATTGTGTGTTCAATCTCCATATTTTTTGGTCATTCATAATAATTAAACACACAAGTACAGATACAAATCATGAACAAAAAAAAATCAATAGTAAACACAATTATTCCATATTGATAAATCTTTAGTAGGTTTTTCTGTATGAATGGGATTTTGAATAAATAAGCATATTCACCTGCGGAAAAAGTATATTAACCGCGCAAAACGTCGCATGCTTTTACGTACATAATTTTGGTAAAAAAACGTTTGATGTACAATTGGTTTTTGTAAATAATTGCCATTACATACATTTCTCTCGGAATATGGAATAAAACAATTACTGTCTTCTGTTTTGGTAAATATATGGTTTAAATGACTTTTGAAAAACTGATATTCACTTCGGCCCTTGGCCTCAGTAATTATCAGTTTTTCAAAAGTCAATAAAACCACATATTTACCTCATCAAAAGACAGTAATTGTATAGTATTTACAAAGGTCAGTAACTATGAACATGCATGAAATATTTTCCACTGGTCATTACGCAAACAAACAATCAACCAACCAATCAAAGAAATATCTGCGGTGTTTTACCATGGTGTATAGTTATATAATACATGTATGTTTAATGTATAAAGTTTATCGTCACGCCTTGCCTTTAAACATTTTGTATAGTTCATGTCAGCCTGGTACTGGACTATTATTAGTCCACCAGGGTTTTCGATATCACAAACTTGTCAAAACATTTAATATTCTATACAAAGCACAAACATTTCGTCATTCACCTCAAAAGCTAACCAAACCTTTAAACAGACTTATGCAGAAGGGATATAGTTACGATACTGTTGTCAGGTCATTAAAGATGGCATTTTTTTTAATTAAACATTGATTCACTCATATGGTCTTTGCATCGAAATAAACACATTTATTCTAAAACCAGTAGTTGGCATGATACTGGTTATGTTTTTCTTGTATATTTTATGATGGTATGATACTAAACCCCTAACAGGAGGGATTGTACTTGATATTCATATGATGAAGACATAATCTTTCAATCAGTTTTGTTGAGGTCTGGAGCTGGCATGTCAGTAACTGCTAGTAGTCCTTTGTTAATTTATGTTATCATTGTCAATTTGCTTATAGTTTCTTCTGTTACTAATTTTAACATCGGACTCGGACTTCTTTAACTGAGATTTACTGTGCGTATTGCTGTGTGTTTGTTTATTCTACATTGACTAGAGTTATAAGAGATATCACAAAAAAAGTTTAACCCCGTCGCATTTTTGCGCCTGTCCCAAGTCAGGAACCTCTGGCCATATTAGTCTTGTATGTTTTTTTTTAATTTCGGTTCATTTAGATGTTTCGGAGTTTAGTGTGACGTCCATTTTCTATGAATTAGTACACATTTTTGTTTAGGGGCCAGATGAAGCCCGCCTCGATCCGGGTGCGGCATTTTCTCGCTGTAATGAAGACCCATCGGTGGCCTTGGCCTGTTGGTGCTTTTTGGTCGGGTTGTTGTCTCTTTGACACATTCCCCGTTTCCATTCTCATTTTTACTGTATACTAAATTTACATTTCACTATTTTTTGTATCCGCATTTCGTTTGAAATATGATCGAGCCTTGGAAGTGGATGTTATGCACCATTTTTATATTTACATTCACTCGATATTAAGGTAAAATAAGATGAAATAAACATATAAATTGTAAAATTTTATCATCTTACAACTGTTCAATGTATAAGGGTCTGGGTAGGGTTTACCGAATAGAGAATAATGGATAAAAGTGCAGAACAAGACCAAAAAATATAAAGAAGAGAGAAACATCGACAAAAAAATAAAGAATAGAAAATAATGGGCAAAAATATATTGAATAGAGAAACATTTCCTAAAGAATAGAGAATTGAAAGACCCCCTTTTTTGTTAAAAAAATGTCCGATTAACCGTTTAATGATTTTGGTATTCGATATTTGGCCCCTCGACGGTTTTAAAACCGAATAATTATCGTTGGCAACACTAAAAATTATGGTTGCTCTGGTCGTATGGATACATAAGCAAGCTCAATCAGAAGATGGTCATGTCAGCATTTGACTTCAATTTATAAATCTGAATAATGATGTTCTGATATTACCAATAACTGTCTTGTCCTGTGGTATTTAAGACCTTAAGAAACACTTTGTCCTGGGGTTTTTAAGACCTTAAGAAGCAAATTCAGAAAATGTTTTTCCTACACGATATGAATAAAAATTAGAAATCGCAGAATGAAGTCAATCACAAGCACTTGGGCACTGTGTTGTTTCAATGTTTTAGCAAAACTATCATATTTTTCTCACTTTTAGTTACATAATTTAAAGTTTATGATTTTAGCCTTACGTTTGTGTAGTACGTTATATGTAAAAGTCGGTTGTCAGAGCTCCCGTATATTCAGAGCTAATTTTTATACGACCGCAAAAAAAATTTTGTGGTCGTATATTGGTATGACGTTGGCGTCGTCGTCGTAATCGTCGTCGTCGTCGTCCGGCGTCGTCGTCGTCGTCCGAAGACACATTATTTTTCGCACTCTTACTTTAGTTTAAGTGAATGGATCTCAATGAAATTTTACCATAAGGTTCAATACCACAAAAGGAAGGTGGGGATTGATTTTGGGGGTTATGGTACCAACAGTGAAGGAATTAGGGGCCAAAAAGGGGCCAAAAATAAGCATTTTTGTAACTTCCAGACATAACTTGTGTGAAAGTGTATGGATCTCTCTGACATTGTACCACAAGGTTCCATATCACAAAGGGAATGCTGGGATTGATTTTGGGGGTAATTGCCTCCAAATTTTAGGAATTAGGGGCCAAAAAGGGGCAAAAAACAAGCATTTTTCTAGTTTCATGACAATAACTTGTGTGTAAGTGTATGGATCTCTCTGACATTGTATCACAAGGTTCCATATCACAAAGGGAATGCTGGGATTGATTTTGGGGGTAATTGCCTCCAAATTTTAGGAATTAGGGGCAAAAAAGGGGCAAAAAACAAACATTTTTCTAGTTTCATGACAATAACTTGTGTGTAAGTGTATGGATCTTTATGAAATTGTACTACAAGGTTCCATGTCATAAAGGGAAAGCTGGAATTGAGTTTGGGGGTAATTGCCCAAAAAGTTTAGGAATAAGGGGCCAAAAAGGGGCCAAAAATAAGCATTTTTCTAGTTTCCAGACAATAAATTGTGTTCAAGTGTATGGATCTCTCTGAAATTGTACTGCAAGGTACCATACCACAAAGGGAATGCTGGGATTGATTTTGGGGGTAATTCCCTCAAAATTTTAAATATTAGGCGCCATAAAAGGGCAAAAAAACAAACATTTTTCTAGTTTCATGACAATAACTTGTGTGTAAGTGTATGGATCTTTATGAAATTGTACTGCAAGGTTCCATATCACAAAGGGAAAGCTGGGTTTGAGTTTGGGGGTAATTGCCCTAAACGTTTAGGAATTTGGGGCCAAAAAGGGGCAAAAAAAACAAGCATTTTTCTAGTTTCCAGACAATAACTTGTGTTCAAGTGTATGGATCTCTCTGAAATTGTACTGCAAGGTACCATACCACAAAGAAATGCTGGGATTGAGTTTGGGGTGATGAATCATAAGGGGGTTCAAAAAATTTGGGGGGGGGGGGGGGGGGGGGTTTCCTTTTTTTTCTTTAAAATTTTCCATTTTAAATTGGTTATTTCTGATTTATATATAAAAGCAAATAATAATGATATGGTTTGAATAGGTAAATTAAAAAAATTTAAGTTCTTAGACCACTTTCATTCTGTGTCAGAAACCTATGCTGTGTCAAATATTTAATTACAATCCAAATTCAGTGCTGTATCAAGCTTGAATGTTGTGTCCATACTTGCCCCAACTGTTCAGGGTTCGACCTCTGCGGTCGTATCAAGCTGCGCCCCAGCGGAGCATTTTATTGGTTTATAATATAAAGATAAGATGTGGTATAATTGCCGATGAGACAACTCTCCACCAGAGACCAAATGACATAGCAGTTATTAACAACAATAGGTTACCGTATGGCCTTCAACAATGAGCAAAAACCATACCCAATAGTCAGCTGTAAAAGGCCCCGAAATGGCAAATGTAAAACAATTCAAAAGAGAAAACTAACGGCCTGATTTATGTAAAACTAGAGGCTCTCAAGAGCCTGTGTCGCTCACCTGACTTTACTTTGGTTTTAGATATCATGTAAAGATAGATAAAAATCATAACAGATACCCAAATAATGATTGAGGCCAAATTTGGTTTAATATTGGTCCCGTTATTTAATAAAATATCCTGGTGGCCATCTTGAACAGTAAATTAGCAACAAAGAAGCAACACTTGGTCAGCACCTCATAAGGAACATTCATGCCATGTTTTGTTTCATTCCATTCAGTTGTTCTCTAAAAGAAGACATTTGTATGTATTTCCCGTAGGGTCCTATGTTAAACTAAGTCACCCACTGGCGGCCATCTTGGATGATGGATCGGCTGCAAAGTAACAACACTTGGTCAGCACCTCATAAGGAACATTCATGCCATGTTTTGTTTCATTCCATTCAGTGGTTCTCTAGAAGAAGTTCAAAATGTAAAAAGTTAACGACGACGACGGACGACAAGTGATGAGAAAAGCTCACTCGGCCCTTTGGGCCAGGTGAGCTAAAAACAATGAACGAAATACAAATATGATATACAGAAAGGAACGACAACCACTGAAATACAGGCTCCTGACTTGGGATAGGCACATACAGAATGTGGCGGGGTTAAACATGTTTACGAGCGCCCAACCTTTGTAACAATACAACATATAAACAAACTATAAAAATCAGTTGAAAAGAGCTTAACTCACCAGATCGATACAAAGCAGAAAAACAAGTAACAAAAACACAGACCGGACGTGGCAGGGCATTCGTACATCACTACAACGACAACGAAAAAAAGACACTAAGTACAGATCTGAGAGTAATCGCAGTTACTGACAGCGTAGTTCAAAGCCAATAACAACAACTGATTTTTACATTTTATGTATGTTTCACGAGAATCCGTTAGTTTGATTGGTTAACAATCGCGCGTCATTCAAAAGCTAACCTTTATATCAAAATGAAATGTTACATTCGTGTTGACACGTGCTTCCACAAAAAAGTGCACAGGTACTGAAATAAAAGAAAAACTTGATAAAATGAGTTTTCTTGGTCTTAGCATAAAAATGTAATTATAAGAAATAAATGCTTCTTTTAGTAATTTGAAAGGGTTGTAAAAGTGTTGATCGTGCACACATTTTTAGAATGAAGCGCTTTCGTGCTTCATACAAAATGTGCTTCGGTCAACACTTTTACACCCCAATAAAATTACAAAAAGAAGCATTCATTAACACAGTCACATCCAGAATCCAATGGATTAAGTGTAAAGACGTCATTAACAGTCACTGTAGCTGGGACTATTATACTAACGGTAATTAGAACAGATCCAACAAGATAAGGCGATACGATTGTCGAGTGGCAAGTCCCGTCAATGCGATAATCCAGTCATTTCCGACATGGTCAGTATATTTAGTTCCTTGTAAAGTTATGTAACTTCAGCATATTTTGGGTACCAGTCACAAACTGTGACAAAAAAAGACTCGTCTTTTCCACAATTTTCAGATGCGTACGTTTTATGACCAAATGAGGAAGTGCCGAGAGAAGACGGCGGAGTTCCCGTTTTTCTTCTCATGTAGTAAGCATACAGAGGAAAGAAATTACCTATTAAATTTGATCTCAAATACATATATAAAGTGTTGTTGTGTAACCCTGACAGAATAATATGGCTATAAATAATGATGATATTCATTAACTTGCTTGTCTTGCTCAGTTATTCAGAAAAAATATTACTATACAATACTACGACTACAGTATGTTGTTATTGGTGTAATTTTCCATCTTGTCAGAGAGACTTTCAATTTCATTTATTTCATTTATTATGATACAATTTGTCAAGTGTTTTTATTGTTCTCATGACATATGTCGATTGTATAAACAATTATAATTGCATAAATGTAGCAATACCCTAAATATCTATCAAATATGTATCAGAGACATATATACATATATGTATGTATGTCTCTGTATGTATTACTCCGATGCAGTCTCTGCTGCACACAAGGATTTTTATAACAAAAATCATTGTGGGTCCAAGGTGTTTATCCTTGTCTATCGTCCTTGTATTGTATGAACTGTCATCCTTAAGTTGTGTTTTTATGTAGTCGATTCCAAAGCTCTTAAATAGCTTTTTTTAGGATAGGCATGTTGAATAGCATTTAAGAAAAGAAAAGGGCCTCGGAAAAATAAGCAAATTAAGATATTTTTGTCAATGATACTTGTTTGTCCTATTCTTTAAAATCATTAATATGTACTTTTTAAATAAAATCAAACCAACCACTATACAAATCCTTGATCAAACTTTTGATTTGGTTTAATTTGACCTGGGACCTTATATGTTATGTACACAATAACGAATTTGTATGATATCATGTCTCCGTCAGATTTGCAGATTTGACTTTTCTTTTTGTGACGTAGTGGCGGGAAAATAGAGTTAGCTCCACCTTGCTATTCGAATGCTTCTAGGGTCTCCCTTCAAGTAGGAGAAAGGACCAAATAAACATTGTTTTTGTGGGAAAATGGCGGAAGTTGACATGATTATTGGTGTTTTGATAATTTTTGTTGTATTTCTATTATTTCTAACAATTATTGCATTGCTTTATGTATCTGGGCTTTTCCACACAATTGAAATAGGCACCGGAAAGCCACCAATAGGACAAGTCACTATAGCATACAAGTTTGTTAGAGGACCTTACAAAGATTCAGGTCAATTTTTTACAGAACTTTCAAGTCATTTGAAACCAGAACAACGCTGTTTAGGCATTTTCTATGACGACCCGAAAGTGGTAAGCAGAAAAAACTAACTTTAAAGAAAAACACTGCAATTGTCACCTGGGCTGAGTTCTTTCTATAGTGAATTTTAACTGAAGTGAAGCAGTGGCATTCTAAAAAAAAGTGGGACTGGGGCAATGAAAACAATTATATGTATAAGTTATTCTGTTAACTATCCCACAAAACTTGATGAACAAAACACTTGGTCAATTAGTTTATCTCCACAGTAAGAGTCGTCCCATGATTGATACAATGTATGTGTATTATAATCATATATTTTGGCCCAAAAATGTATGTTTACGATACTCTTATCGACCCAAATTATCGAGTAACATAGCCAACCCTAACTTTTTTCACTGAAAATTTAACAAATAACATTTCACTCAGGTATTCATTTGCCAATCACACATGGCAACAACATGTATTTGTCAGTACATGTATTGAAGCCTTGTTGACCAGAAGAAGACGATGATATGCTATTGTTCTTGACAGAATTGTACTTTTTGTTCAACTGCTAGCTTAATGCTGAAAATTGTCATCAAGTATTATTTAAAACCAAGTAATAACATATCTGATTAATAAAAATCACTTCAACAAATTCCTGCTTACTGGCAATACCGGATTCAATTAAAAAAACTGGATAAGGCTATTTCTTTGTTTGCCGATCAAAAATATAAACACACAAATATTTTTTTTTGGCCTTCTTAAGATACAGACTATACCATACCGCAGTGGTGTATCCAAAAACATGTACACGTAGAAAAACTGTTCTTCTGCATTATTTGAGTTTATATATATAATTAAGGAGCCAGCTTATACCAGCTTACATCATGTCCAAGTTATGTACAGTTATTTTACACACAATTTGAGTATTAAATGTTTTCCAAAGTGTACATCAAACAAGTTCAAATGGTGGGCAACATGGTAAACCATGGATGTTCAGTCAATATGTAATAACATAATATTATTTAAAAAAAAGATATTTTGGTATACAGACTATGAAAGTACAAATGTAGTTTAAATTCTGTAGTAGCCCTTTAATATTTAGCTTAGACCATTGATAGATATCCAGAATCTTTCTGAACAATGGCATAATTGAAAATGAGGTCCCTTTTTAGGTTCTGTAAACTTGCATAAATTTGGAACTCTATCAAAGATTAAAAAAATATTTCCCTTTGCTTATCATGCTAATTGTTTAATGAAATACATGTATCTGTTTTAAATTCTTTTTGTTTTTTGTCAAGTGTTTAAATTTGTGGTTTTGTTTCCCACAAATTTGAATGATTCCATATTTCCAAAATTATTTAAATGCATCATACATTTGTCAAATGTATGCACATTTCCAAAATTCATACATGTTAACTTATCAATTTAGTGGAGGTGGGCTGGCAAGACTGGTGGTAGTTTGAGTTGAAATACAATAGTTAATTAGAAATATTCATTACATTTACATTGTGTATTATATGAAAGTTAGAAAGGTTCTAAAGGGAAAGAATATACACACTGACTTTTGTCAGATTTTTTGTCATAATTAAGATTGTATAATTAACAGCACTAGACATGTGTCTTTCTCATGTTGTAGTATTCCATTTACATGTGTACATGTACTTGTATGTAGCTTCATTATCAGTTTAGCTCTTGAAATAGCAAGGGGAAATTAGAAAATTTATTAAATGGAGATAAACAACAACAAATACTATGGGGAATAACGTTTGATATGATGCTTACCAGTATTTATAATTATATAGCCTGTGAATTTATTCTTGAAGGCTTTTTGGTGTTTTTCAGGTACCAAAAGATCAATGTCGATATGCTGTTGGAGGTATGATAGCTATGAACGATGATACTCCAGATGAAGAACAGAAGAAATACCTTATTGGTGAAGGATACAAAATATTTAAATTGCCTACTGTGTCCTATGCTGTTAAAACAGATTTTCCATACATAAGCTACATGTCGATAATACTTGCAGTGTTTAGAGTTTATCCTAAACTTTCAAAATATGTTAAGGTATTATATACATGCTTAATCACTGTGAAGCATCACCATCAGATATAGGAACCCCCCCCCCCCCCCCCCAAAGCAAAGAGAAACAATGATAGCAAAAAGTATCTATTCTATTCCCTGTACAGTAAAAAACTATTTGCCTTACAATTTATCTGCTTTGATTACATAAAAATCTTAGAAAATAGTGGCAGATCCAGGGGGGTTCCAGGGTGTTTGAACCAAGGGTCCGGAAATGGTCATATTTGCCAGTCATGTCCTAAGATGAAACTATTTGTCCTAAACGAGTAATTGGGATTTAGGACAAATTTTATTTTTTTACAGAAGTAATTTCGGTCATTTCTTTGACTCAATGTTTGAAATCGGATTTCTAAATCACCATTTTGCACTTGTGATCACTTGTTTTTGTTTATAATCCCTTTCCTGTAATAAAACTGCCACTACAGAAGTTTGATAAACCTGAGGGCCCTCCTAATATCTATATCAATGCCTCCGGGAAACATTGGCTAATGATCGCTAATCACTTTTTACCTGTGGTTTTAATTCACACCTGACAGTGATCACAAGCTCAGAATAATATCTTTAAACATTAAAGTTCCCTGACAAGTATATTCATTATTTATTTACTTTTCATCAAAGACAGTCATCAATTCTGATTTAAAAATTAAATCTAAATTTACGTAGAAAAAAGTATTTTTCATGAGTAACACATGTGCTTTATTTACTATGTTATACGCATGCATGAAATTGTCTTCAGCAAATTTAATATTTAATCGTAAAATACAAATTGATTTCATGCTAAATTAAACGAGTGCAACTATTATCTGTTATATTCAAACACTTTTAAAGGTAATGAAATAAAAAAGCCATAAAAAGCCGGTGATTTCCTGTCAATTTGATAAACAAAACAAATCCCGGAAATGAATCCGGAATTATTCGTACTTTAAAATATCGCAAACTTCCGGTTTTAACTTTGTCAAATCGAAAGAAACGTAAGCAATGTCTGAGAAATTAACCATTTTGAGTCATTAAAATCATTTCAATTTTAGACTGTTGCCTTCCCTAAACTGTCCTTCATGGTAATTAATGGTAAGACTTTTACTTAGTAAATGCGATGAAACAGCAATACAAGTTCGTCATGTTCATTGATGCTATGAATATAGTCGAAATTGATATCGACAATTTGAAAACGGGCACCAACTTTTGAAACATCTCAAAATGTTAATGACCGAAATTGTCTGGAATAATTTCCGGATCCTTGGTTTGAACCCCCCTTTTTTTTGACGATCAATGCATTTGAATGGGGACATATAGTTGGAACCCCCCCCCCCCTTTATCCTGGGTTGGGAACCCCCCCCCCCCCCCCCCCCCCCCTTTTTAAAGATGGCTGGATCCGCCCCTGGAAAACATCGAAATATAGTGTTGTTAAAGTTTTAATATGATAAAATATAAAAACTTCAAATGAATAGTTGAAGGATAAATGAGTTTTAACTGGTCACATGCTTCTTTCAACAGGTACCACCTGGTCCGTATCTGACGATTTGAAGAGAGAGAGAAAGCTAATTAAGGAGCATAATCAGACTTAAATAGTAGCTACATTATTGGGAATAAATATCACAAAACTTTACTGCCTGGCAGCTAAACATAGAATATAATAAGAAATAAGAAGATTTTGACCTTACTGGACTTCACATTTGTTTTTTCCACCCCTTTGGGGGTACCTGTATCAGGTTGTGATGCTACACTGTGATAATATTATGGAATAGTTTTCAATATATCATTCTTTATTATTGGTTAAATTATATTGACCCTGTTCAGTGATAGGCAGTTCACTGGTCACTCTGTCTAGTGGACCGTTATTATTTACTGGTCAGTACAATAATTATAATATTACAATAAATTCCAAACCTTTATCAGATATTCTGTGTCGTAAAACTTTCATTTAACTTGTTTGGCAAATGTTTTACTGTTTAATCAGTTATTCATCAAAATGGTATAAAACTAGCATAAGGATACAGTTATGTAATAATTTTTTACATTGGCCCTGTTATTAACTTTTTTATCACCACTAGCCCATTTACAAATGTAAACAGCATTTTGTTTTCCAGTCTGTGCATCTGATCGTCCCTCCTGTATCAGGTAAAAGTTTGGGAAAAGGTAATTTTGAATACTATGTTCACATGATCATTATGATGAGAACTTTAATACATATATGCTTAATTAGGCTTTTGACCCCTATTTCATGGCTCGGTGAACATGGAAATGTTAAAGAGCCGTTGCGGTGCCCTCTATGTGGAAACAAGTCTAGTTTTCAAGATTTTGTTTTTCAATTTTGTTTCTCTGGTGCTAGAAATTCAGTCTGACTTGAGTCAACAAAAAAATTTCTTTTTGTTGGCTGCTATTTTAAATTTTTGATGAGAGGAAAACAAAGTTTTACCCTAGTTTCATGTTTATAAAACTAGATAACATCTGCTCATGTACATGTCATGCATGTAGATACGTTTTTATTCTTTTTAGGAAAAGAAATTATGTGCCCATCCATTTCTAGAAATATATGAAGATTCAAAAATCCACTTTATGGCTCCATTAGCCAAACAGAATGAGTTTTATGTGGAAGAAGCAGCAGACAGTACCATGGAAGACGGAGAGGACCTGGATGAATCTATGTCAGCAGACAACAGCTCATATGGGGGAAGTGTATCTCGCAGTGAATTCTCAGTGGCAACTAGTTATATGGGAAGTATAATTGAGGATTCAGATGATGAAGATGAGGATCTTTTGAGATTGGATGAAGTTAAAGAAGAACCATCAGATACACCTATTAAAGAAATAGATGTAAATGATTCTGCTGACAGGGAGGTTACTCTTGATGATATTCAGAACGTTGTCTTGCCAGAGTTGTCTTTACCTGAAGATATCACAGCAAGCATTGCTAGCTTTCAGGATTCTGGTTTTAGCTCTGAGCAAGTAATATCCCCTGAAATGAGTCCCATGAAAAAGGAAGAAGTCACTGATGCCAAGATAGGTGATGTTCAGAACTTAGATGCCATGAAAAAAGAGGATAGTCAAGATTCAATTGATGGAAATGAATCCTCATCCTCATTTGAGGTTATAGATGATAAAACAGAGTTGTGATTATTGTTTATTAATTGTTTATTTTGTTGATTTGGGAACATTAGTGAAGTACTGGTTGATTTGTTTATGCATTCATTTCCCCAACTGTTTACAAATTTTTATTTATTCATTATATCTTGTTTGGCAAATTAAAAAAAAAAAATAACGATGAAAATTGTAAACAATGAAATGGGCATGCTATTTAGCAGAACATATTTGTTGTGAAATCTTTTAAATTATCTATACAAAAATATGATAGACTAAATACCTCACTCCAAACTTTTAAGTTATTTATTCTCTTATTTTTTTTGTTTAATATTTGTGTTCAAGCTACATGTATTTGTAACAATTACACATTTTGTAAGCAGTGAATTTTGAAGAAATGCACAATACTGTGTGTTATGAATACTCCCTTTTAACCCTTTCAGGCAAATGATGCCTTGAGGTAATGCTGTTTATGCCTGGACCAATGATGATATGCCTCAAAGCATCTTCTGTCTGATGCTAAACAATCCCATCAGGTATTGTCAATTCGTTGAAATACTTGTTTCCAATGTTTTTCAAGCAAACTTATTATGAAGCAGAATAGTAATTATTTTTCTGAATTGATATATCTAAAACAAACAGAATTTGAATTTTCTACAAGTCTCATTTTGCAGCTGATCAATGTCCACTCAAGTATTAATTAAATTATTTATAAAAATGTTAAATACATTGTACAAATGCTTATATGCTTCCATGTATATCAAGGGATTGTACATAATGTACCTGCAAGTTTTATGATGAAACATATCAACTATAATGGTAGGCGGGATGCACATATGTCTACCATCTTCCACCTTCCATTTTGATTGGTGGAGAAAACCTATCTAATCTGTAATGTACAAATACATATATATTTACACATTTAGTTGATTGATTTGCATTTTTGCATTAAGGACAAAAGTTTCTCAATGTGGCATTTTCAAATATTTTAATGCTCCAAAAGTAATGGCCAGGATATAAAGTGTTACCCATGTCTTCTGAAGTGAAACAGCTGTCTTAGAACTTTTTTCATTATACATGTACCTGCAACTATTGCTCGGCTTTTTGATACATTTGTGTATAATGAATGATGTCTTACAGATCGAATTTTGTGTTCAGGTTGACATAATTTTCATAGAATTGTGACCCTTTGAGTTCTTGAACATTGTAATTTTCCTGACTTTTTTGTAATACCTGCAGATCTGGAGCTTATTTGTTGTACATAAGTGTATAACGATGACTTACAGATAGAGTTTGAATTTTTATCTTTTTATGCAAGCAGATATCATGGATATGATTTCTTATTAACTGATATCATAAAAAAAATGTAATCAGAGAATTATTGTGGTTAATTTTGGCAGAGTTTGTATGAAATATATTTTTTCCCCTCTATTTATCATTTTTTTCTATTAACTTGTATGTACACTATACCGAAGCAGGGTATCAAACATGTGATTTGGGCAGTACATTAAAAGGCAGCTTGTCTGATTTTTAATGATTGCTGGGTAATCTGTTAAAAGAGGAGAAGAATATACTGTTGAGTGCCATTTAAACTATGCGGGTTTTTTTGTGTGTGCTTTATTGTATAGTGTTTAAAAGTCATAAATCTTTGATAGTTACTGAGTTTTTTTGTTTTATTTTTTAGAGTCCTTTAAATACTAAAAAGTCTGCATGATTAAGTTTTTCACATATACATGTATTTAATACTGAATCCATATAGAACAGGTGAGATTATTATACATGTGTTAGAAATATTTTTACAGAAAGGAATCGAAAAAATCTTCTATTTTTCAAGTATGATGGCATTTGTCACAACAAAGTCCTTACATTGCAGACATTTAGACCAAAAGTGTGAGGGTTTTCTCATGACTAATTGCCTTCATAGTTAAAAGAAAGTAATTAAATTTGAAGTGCTGTGTCTTCCTGTTTTAGAAAATATTACCTTTAAGATAAGTAAATTAGAATAGAGATGTAACATGTTATTTGGAGGTTGTAGACGGAAAAGATATAAGTGGGAAGGTTTATTAAACGAGATTATGTACTTTCAGGAAATAAAAAGAAAAATGGGAAATACTTCTTTTTTTTCTTTTTTTTTACATAAAAGATTAAAAACTGGTTGATTTACAATAATATTGGCGTACAAATTATACCACTGTTAGTTGAATACATGTACATGTATATGCTAAAGTTACCTACCTTGATTAAATCACTGATTCATTGAATTGTGAATTAATCTGTTGTATTGCAGAAGTATATTTTAACAAACCTGTCCGAAGTTAGACATCTAGCTATTGGTTGTCTTTTGTCTTCTTGTGATGTGCTTTTTGTCATTTTGGGTATTATTTTGTTAATGGTAGAATGTTGATAGTCTCTGCTAGATTTTGTTTTCTAGACTGGATGTTTTAGAGCTTCTCATTTTGTATCGACACCTGTCTATTGTTATAAACTGTGCGTTGACCTGTAGATGTCTATTTAATTTTTTGTGCTGTTTGGTTGTTGTCATTGATTTTGGCCCCATGGCCAAATCTCCTTTTATTTATATTTGAAGAATTAGATCAGATGTTTAAGTCTTTGATATTTCCAAGTTTGATAAATGATATGTACCAACTAATGAAATAAGCAAAATACCAAAGATGGCAGCCCAAAAGAATGCTCTTTTTGTATGCTAAATTAACAAGGGTTGTCTACCTTAATTTGCCTTTCTTTCCTAGAAACCGAGAAGGTGTTATTTATGCATTGGTATTTAGTTTATGGTCTTGGAATATATGATATTTTAGATTATCTCCCCTATGTGTTTTTCAAGACATATCCATTAGTAGGATCAACGATAAGTTAAAGTCCCATGTTGTATTTATTAAGTGTTGTGGTAATTAGTATTTTTTCTAAACAGTTGGTTGCAAGAAGTACAAAAGACTATTTTCATTCTGACATTTTTGACGTTGTAAAACATGTTTTTAAAGGCAGTGCTTTAATGCCTTTCTAGTTGCCGGGTTAATCCTTCCTTCCGCGATATCCAACTTATCTACGTGGGGGGTCATTAAACTCTAAGTAGATCCGGAAATGTTGAATTCTCTCCTCTTCTTATTGCGATATAAAATGTTTTTTGTTTCATTTCATTTACATTGGGAAATAGAGAAACGATCATTGTGTTTTGTTAGTTTTAAAAACTTTTGATATATTAGTATTTTGCATTATAAGCAGTCAACCGATTGACAAACTAGAATTATTTGAATTCCGTGTGGAAAGAGCTCGGGTTAATTTCGAGTGTTATCTGCAATCTAGATGTTTATAAATCATTTCAGTCGTTGATATAATAATTAAAGGTCGACTGAACATGAATTATATTATACAATTTAAAGCGCATTTCTGTTTATGCACGTGAACCCGTCTAACGTTATTTTCGCAGTTATATAAAGTATCAAATTATCGATCCTGAATAGGTGGCGCCGTGGTAGCGGATCCTGTTCCTCTTCTTCCGGTTTCTGCACTGTGCAACTATTTCAGTTATATTTTTAATTAACGATGCCAAGTACTTGTTGTTGTGTACCTGGATGTCATTTAAGAGGAGGACATGCATTTCCAAATGACTTAAAAAGAAGGAAAAGTTGGATCAACGCCATGGCCCATACGCAGATTGGACGAAAACACGATGATATCGTGGAGTCCATCTCAATCAGCTGTTGTTTGCAAGGCACGTTTTACTGAAAAAGACTACGTGCAGGAAACTATTCATGGTAAAACTCTATTTTCTTTGTGAAATATATAGTTATATATGTAATCGCCATGCGAATAAACCAAAGTCTGTTTACAACCGCAATTATCGTTTTAGAATAAAAGGGGGTGGGTAATTCAAGACGTCATAATTTTTTGGATTACGATTCAATGTGATCTGTTTGAGATTTTTTGGTGATTGCTACAATTATAATGATTTCTTACAAGAGGTATATCATACTGAGAATTATTTTAGCAGTAATTATGCTAATGTAGTAATGACAGGAATGCATAAGCTATGCCTCATAGACTTTCTTGAAAAATATCAATGACAATGTTAACAGGAACAAAACAATGACATGCTCTCATCTATATTATAGTTATTTAGGTACAAACAATGTACGTTTGTTGCATAAGTCTCTCATTGTTTGTCCTTTGGATTTACATAACATACATTGAATCAGGCAAACATAGTTTTATCCAGATTGTAATGAATAAATCTAGTTAATATTTCGCCAGGTAGTACAAAGTATACATTGCTAATGGAAGTTCATTTAATTATAAAAAAACTAATGTTTTATAACCTTTTTCAGGGCGCAAACCCACCATACAGAGACTTAAGTCTACTGCAATTCCCAGCCTATTTTCCTGGACCAAGCAAGAGACTGAATCGTCCGCAAAAAGAAAAATCAGGGCAGTTTCCTGTGAAAACAAAAGAACTAAACTTGATGAATATTGTAGTAGAAATCTAGAGGAAAGTTTTGATTGTAAAGTTGGTTTTCCTGAAGAAGTCATTCATACTGCAGAAAGGATTTATGACTTTCCACCACCAACTGCTGAGCTAATGTTGAGCTTCACAGATGGAATTACGCAAACACCATCAATGCCTATGTTTTTAACAGAGAATTTTGAAATGAATACACGTGACACAGCCATGCATTTTTATACCGGTTTAGAGTTGTATACTAAATTTTTATTTGTTTTGACCACACTTGGTCCAGCAGCACATTGTTTGAGATACATATATTTTCAAATTGATAGGGTGTCAGTTGAAAATCAGTTTTTTTATGACTTTGATGAAATTGAGGCATCATACAACCAACTTTGAACTGTCTAGATTCTAGATTGAATCTAGTGTTAAGAATATTGTGTATACATAGATTGTTTTTATGTCTAAACAGTGGTGTGAGGCTAACACTTGGCCATCTAGTGGTTTAGTCAGGTATTTTTCACCATCCAACTTCAAATTAAAGTTTCCTACGACTTGGATTATTATTGACAGCACAGAATATCCCGTGATAAAACCTAAAGCTCCTAGAGCTCAGGCAACCTTTTCATCAAATAAAAACAGAAACACTGAAAATTCTTGAATGTTCGACACCTGGTGGTTTAGTCAACTATGTCTCTATGTCACATAGAGCGAATCATTGGACTTGGCAAAACATACAAAATTCTAATAAATCCTATGAATGGAACTGAAACAAAACTTTCATCTGAAATAACATTTAGTTGTTTTATGTTGTGTAATTTTAGAACTTGTATTGTGCCAAAGGATGCATAAATAAAAGTGACCCAATGAATTTTGTTCTGATATATATATATTTACAATTACATGCACATGTAAATTGTAATGCATATAAAAATAAGGAGATGTGGTATGATATTCAGTGAGTTTATCAAACTAAAGTGCATAAGAAATGGGTTTAAGCAGTTACAGGTGTTACTGTCACCGTACAATCTCCAACAATGAGAAAAACTCGTACCCTGTAAAAAATTTCAGAGATCTTACAACTAAGTTTTGTTGTCTCACCTTGACTTTGGTGAATTTTTTATATCTGTTGATGTAAATATAAAAAAGAAGATGTGGTATGATTGCCAATGAGACAACTCTCCACACATGCACAAGAGACCAAATGACACAGAAATTAACAGCTATAGGTCACAGTACGGCCTTCAACAATGAGCAAAGCCCATACCGCACAGTCAGCTATAAAAGGCCCAGAAATGACAATGTAAAACAATTCAAACAAGAAAACTAACGGCCTATTTTATGTAAAAAAATGAACAAATATAACAAATATGCAACACATAAACAAACGACAACCACTGAATTACACTTTTATAGGCTTCTGACTTGGGACATGCACATACATGTACATACAGAATGTGGCGGGCCTAAACATGTTAGCTTGATCCCAACCCTCCCCCTAACCTGGGACAGTGGTGTAACAGTACAATATAAGAAAGAACTATAAAAATCAGTTGAAAGAGGCTAAACTCATCAGATGGATAAATACAAATACAAGTGGACGTGGTCAGGTAGTTGTACATCCAAACAACAAAAAGACACTAAGTACAAATCTGAGAGTACTCGCAGTTACTGACAGCTAGTTCAAAGCCACTAACAACTGATAAAAAAATCTTGCATCTAAGACTAAATTATCAATCCGTAAGCTCCCTTTAGAATTTTATAAATTTTAGATTTTACATTTCTGAGTTATGGGGTTTTATTCATTAAAAAAGGGGGGATTTTCCAGTTTTTGGACAACAACTCAAAAATGCTTTAAGCAGTTCACATGAAACTTTGGTGAATTATTTATAGCTATTGATGTAATCTCCCTATTGATTTTCATAAATTTCAAATATGACATTGAGAAGAAATTGAACTTTATTTGTTTATAGTCTGGCAACAGATTTATTAAGTATTGCACAACAGCACAGTGTATTGCACAACAGCAAGAAATCTTTAATTGAATATAAATTCAATTCATATAACCGATTTCAAGTTCATTGACTACATTTATTCAGAAACTATAATATGTCAAATATTTAATTACAATCCAAATTCAGACCTGTATCAAGCTTGAATATTGTGTCCATTTTTGCCCCAGCTGTTCAGGGTATTACC